CGCCAGGGTCTGCCCGTCCGGTTCTGTAATGTGCTTTCTGCTCCTAGCCCCCCTCCTACTCTCTCGCTCTCTCTCTCGCTGGTTCCATCCTCCTCCCTCCCCCATGCCCCTTCCAACCGTCCTCTCTTCCCCTGCCTTAGGGGCTGCACGAAATACACGTTGCAGGTAAGAAAAACATACCCCCAAGAGGGTATGATCGAAGACGAGTCCGGCGGGTATCGAGGGTTTGGGATATACGTGTTGAGCGGCACGCGAGCAGATAAGAGCGAACCGTCTTAAAATGATTGTCGTTGTTGTTGGTGCTGTTGTGGAATTCCCATTTCTACAGAATGACTATTGTTGATCACCCTGCCCCGTCACCATTAGATGCTGTCCATTGAAGTTTTTTTCATGTGGCTCACACCCTCTTGTTAATAAGGGAAAGTGAAGTGTCACCAAACTGTGCCCCTGGCCCCTGGTTCACAACAACAGCTGCTCCCGACTAATATTTCTTGACAGTGTGGTCCAACATCGCGATCACGCGCGGGACCTCCCCACAAAGTATGCAGAAATCGCGCTCTCGCGTGGGTTTTCCTCGCAATTTGCTTCTGCACCGCGCCTTCGACATTCAGGAGTTACGCTCTCGCTGTGGCCTCTTTCACGATTTGCTCGGGAATCGCGCTATCGCTCGAGACTGTCTCGCGATTGATGCAGGAATCACGCTTCAGCAATCCGCCTGCTCGACCTGGCCGCCCGGGCCCGCCTTCCCGACCCGCCCGCTAGGGTCTGTTCGCCTGGTCTGCCTGTTTGGTTCTGCCACGTGCTTTCTCCTCCTATCCCCCGTCCTGCTAACTGTTCTGGTGCTCTATCCTTTCCCTCCCCCTTCCATCCGCCCTTTCTTCCGCTGTTTTTCGGGGATGCAATATTTGCACGTGGCAGGTAAGGAAGATATACACCCAAGGGGGGTACGATTGAAGACGGAGAGGGCGGGCACCGAAGTTTTAGGATACACGTGTTGAATGGTTTGCGAGCAGATAGGAGCGAATAGTCTCACAATGATTGTTGTCGGTGGTGGCGATGATGTCGTTGCTGTTGTTGTTGCGGTTGTTGTTGTTGTTGATGTTGTTGGCGTGGTTGTTGTCGTCGTTGTCCTCGTTGCCGTTATTGTTGTTGTTGTTATGGTTGTTGTTGTGTTTGTTTGTTGTTGACGTTGTTGATGTTGTGCTTGTTGTTGTTGGTGTTGTTTTCGGTGTTGTTGTGTTTGTTGTGTTTGTTGTTGTTGCAATCCCCATCGCTAAAGACAAAGTACGGTTGATCACCCCAGTGACCATTGCGTTCTCCGGGGTTCGCACTCTGTTCTTTAGCAGGGAAAGTCTGTGGTCACCAAACTGGGCCCCTCGCCCCCGACTTGCAGCAACAACGGCTCCCGCCTGATATGCCCTCACAAGGTATTCGGGAATTGTGCAGGAATTGCCCCGCGCGCGGGACCTCCTCACAATTTGTACGGGAATCGCGCTCTCGCTGGGGACCTGCCCCCCCAATTTATTCAAACGCCGCGCTCCTCGCGATTCACGCAGGACTTACACCTCAGAAGCCCGCTTGCTGGACCTGGCCGCCTGGGCCCGCCTTCCGACCCGCCCGTTCGGGTCTACCCGCCCGACCAGCCCGTCTGGTTATGCAACGTTTTTTTGTGTTTCTGTTCCTAGCCTCCCTCCCGCTAATCTCTCCCGTGCTCCATCCTTCTCCCTCCCCATTCCGTCCGTGCTCTCTTCCCCTGCCTTAGGGGCTGCGCTAATTTCACGCAACATGTAAAGAGGATGTACCCCCAAGGGGCTTCGATCGAAGACGAAGAGGGCGGGTACCGAGGGTTCGGGATAGACGTGTTGCATGGCATGCGAGAAGGTATCACCGAACAGCCTTCGTATTATTGTTGCTGTTGCGCCTTCGCTTGTGAAGAAAACGTCTGGTTGATTCCCCCTCGGTGCACACTGTATGTTTCCTATTGAAGTGCCCTTCCCGGGGCTCGCGCCCTGCGTTTCAGCAGGGGAAGTATTGACGGTCAAACTTGCCCCCTGGCCCCCGAGTTACAGCAACAACGACTCCCGCCCGATACTTCTTCGCAATGTATTCGAAACTCGCGCTCTCACGCTGGATTTCCTCACAATGTATGCAGGAATCGCGCTCTCGCGTGGGACGTCCTCGCAATGTATTCAACCGCCGCGCCCTCGACGCTCAGGAATCGCGCTCTCGCTCTGGTTTCTCCCGCGATTCACTGGGAATCGCGATATCACCCGAGACATCTTCGCGATTCATGCAGTACCCACGTTTCAACAACCCACCTGCTGGACCTGTCCGCCTGGGCCCGCCTTCCGACCCGCCCGTAAGGGTCTACCCTCCCGGTCAGCCCGTCTGATTATGTTACGTTGTTTTTTGTTCCTAGCCTCTCTCCCGCTAATCTCTCCCGTGCTCCCTCTTTCTCCTTCCCCCTTCCATCCGTGCTCTCTTCCCCTGCCTTAGGAGCTGCGCTAATCTCACGCAACATGTAAAGACGATGTACCCCCAAGGGGTTTCGATCGAAGACGAAGAGGGCGGGTACCGAGGGTTCGGGATAGACGTGTTGCATGGCATGCGAGAAGGTATCAGCGAACAGCCTTCGTATCATTTTTGTTGTTGTTGCGCTTTCGCTTGTCCAGAAAACGTCTGGTTGATGCCCCCTCGGTGCACACTGTATGTTTCCTATTGAAGTGCCATTCCCGGGGCTCGCGCCCTGTTTTTCAGCAGGGGAAGTCTTGAGTGTCAAACTTGCCCCCTGGCCCCCTGGCCCCCGAGTTATAGGAACAACGACTCCCGCCCGATACTTCTTCGCAATGTATTCCAAACTCGCGCTCTCACGCTGGATTTCCCCACCATGTATGCAGGAATCGCGCTCTCGCGCGGGACACCCTCGCAATGTATTCAACCGCCGCGCCTTCGACGCTCAGGAATCGCGCTCTCGCTCTGGTTTCTCCCGCGATTCACTTGGGAATCGCGCTATCACCCGAGACATTTTCGCGATTCATGCAGTACCCACGTTTCAACAACCCACCTGCTGGACCTGGACGCCTGGGCCCGCCATGCGACCCGCCCGTTAGGGTCTACCCGCCGGGTCAGCCCGTCTGGTCATGCCAGGTTTTTTTTTCTGTTCCTAGCCTCCCTCCCGCTAATCTTTCCCGCGCTCCATCCTTCTCTTTCCCCCTTCCATCCGTGCTCTCCTCCTCTGCCTTAGGGGCTGCGCTGATTTCACGCAACATGTACAGAAGATGTGCCCCCAAGGGGCTTCGATCGAAGATGAGAAGAGGGCGGGTACCGAGGGTTCGGGATAGACGTGTTGAATGGCATGCGAGAAGGTATCAGCGAACAGCCTTCGTATTATCATTGTTGTTGTTGCGCTTTCGCTTGTGAAGAAAAAGTCTGGTTGATGCCCCCTCGGTGCACAGTGAATGTTTCCTATTGAAGTACCATTCCCGGGGCTCGCGCCCTCTTTTTCAGCAGGGGAAGTCTTGAGTGTCAAACTTGCCCCCTGGCCCCCGAGTTACAGCAACAACGGCTCCCTCACGATACTTCTTCACAATGTATTCCGAATTCGCGCTCTCGCGCTGGATTTCTCACAATGTATACAGGAATCGCGCTCTCGCGTGGGACGTCCTCGCAATGTATTCAACCGCCGCGCCCTCGACGCTCAGGAATCTCGCTCTCGCTCTGGTTTCTCCCGCGATTCACTTGGGAATCGCGCTATCACCCGAAACATATTCGCGATTCATGCAGTGCCCACGTTTCAGCAACCCGCCTGCTCGACCTGACCGCTTGGGCTTCTTCCCGACCCGCCCGTTAGGGTCTACCCGCCCGATCAGTCCGTCTGGTTCTGCCGCGTGCTTTCTGTTCCGAGCCCCCCTCCTGTTAATCCCGTGTTCCATCCTTCTCCCTCCCTTTTGGATCCGTCCTCTCGTTCCGTCCCTTAAGGTCTGCACTAATTGCACGCAGCACGCAAGGAAGATATACCACCAGGGGGGCACATCGAAGACGAAGAGGGCAGGTATCGATGGTTTGGGATATGCGTTTTGACTTGCACGCGTGCAGGTAAGATCGAACAGTCTTAGAATGATTGTTGCTGCTGTTGCTGAGTTCTCATTCCTGCAATGAATTTATCGTTGGTCCCCCCAGTGGCCATGGTGTTTTTTCAAGAGAAGTGCTTCTCCTGGGGATCGCACACTGTTGTTGATCAGGGAGAGCTTGTCGTCACCAAACCCGCCGTCAGGCAAGCAGAAAAGGCAAGGGAATCGGCTTAACTACGACGTTTATTTTATCTATTCGTTGTTACATGTCCTTTGGACAGGCGACGGTGACGACGACGTCGACGACGACGATGACGACGACAGCGCTTTTACACACGCCGATGGGTCGGAGGATTCATCTATCGGTTTCGCTATCCATCCACCGATTTCACGATCTACTGATCTCACTTTGGTACTTCTCGGTCTCGCTATGAACATCGCTGCCGGTACTTATATACCAGCCTCATGATGCATCTGTCAGCATCAGTACCAACCAATCGGCTTACCATCAGGACTACCATCGGGACAACAGACGCAGCAACCATTGTCGCGACACTCGGGACAACCAGCGTGGCATCCAACGAGACAACCAGCGGGCCAACTGTCGGGACAGCCTGCGGACATCCACGGGACACTCCCAGGACGACCGCGGGGCAGCCCCGGGCCCGATCTGCCGGGGGAGAGGGCCTGCTCTGCCTCCGCCGCGGCAGCGGCGGGGGATCCTTCCCCCCCGCCCGCGCACGCAGCTCCGCCTCGCCCGCGCGCGCGGCACGAACACACGAGGCCGACACCGATGTTTCACGGTGGTGGGTCTCCGCTTCGTGTCGGCCTCGCCCTTCAAATTTCAGGTTTGCTGTGTTTTTTCCCCCGCTCCTTCTCCATCCCCCTCCCCTGGTTCTCCTCGCTCCCCGTGGTGCTCGTCCCCGAGAGGCCCGGGGAGGCCGTGTTCGTGCCAGCTCTCTGGTGGCACGCGACGTACGACACGGGGCCGACGCTCGGCATCGGGGCGCAATTCCACGTCCTCGACTTGGACGTCGTTTTCTTCTTCCTCCTCCTCCTCCTCCTCGAATTTCTTCGAGCACGCTTCGCCTCCTCCTCCTCCTCCCCTCGCATTCTTCTCTTTCCCCCGTCTTCCATCCCCTCTCCTGCTCCTCTTCCTCATCCTCCTTCTCCTCCTCCTCCTCCTCCTCCTTTGCCGTGAAACGAAAAACAGGACGCCCCTGTATTCTTGATGAGGCGTTCCAGGGTTGCGGTTTGAGCGGGAGGAGGATCGAGGAGAGAGGTTCGACCAGGAGGAATATCAGCATCGGTTCGCATTGTGAGGCGTCTCTGTTTTTTCTGCCTCTGGAGGCTTCCACGGACTCGGGCATCTGGAGACCTCCAGAGACCCCTTCCTCCGAACGGGGCGAGGGTTGCGGGGTGACCCCAGGCTTGTTCTTCGCGCACCCCCTTCGTCCACCAATTCCTGGGCTCAGATTTCGAGGTGGTCGTTTTGCCGGAAGAGGTTCTCCCGTTTTTCGGACATGTTGCCAAGAAAGGGGTTGAGCCAGGCAATGCCAGATCGCATTCCTCGCCGCCTTCGTCGTCCAGACCGGCCATCGTCGTCGCCGTCGCCGTCGACGTCGTCGTCGTCGCCGTCGCCGTCTTCTTCGTCGTTGTCCTCGTCGTCACCGTCGTCGTCAGCGTCGCCGTCGTCGTCCGTAGGACTTCCCCAGCGCCGTGCGGGAGCATCCCAGTTCGGCCTTCGTACTGTACCACTACGGGTGCGAGAGCCTCGCCTAGTCAGCCAGCTCTGGAGGGGGGAAAAGGAAGAGGGGGAGGGAGGAGGAGGGAGGTGGAATATGAAGGAGCAACATGTTTAACGATTGGACGGGCCCTCCTGGGGGGCCCTCGCGGGGGATCCTGGAGGGCGCCTCTTCGTCACGATCGGACTCGCCTCGAAATCACAGTGGGAGCGTCCTAGACAGGTCGGGGGGTCCGTTCTGAGGAGGGGGATGAGGAAGAGGATGGGTCCATATCTCCAGGCCGTGAACTGGTCACGACGGGTTAGGGTAGGCTCGTGTCGTGTCGACGCGGCGGCGACCACAGCTTGGGCGTTCAGGGTTGAACGCCGCCGGTGGTCCTCGGTCGAGCGATATCGAACGATCTGTGCTGTCGGACAGCTGCGATCGTTCAAGGTTGAACACGCCGAAGTCGTCACGACACGAACCTGCCTTAACCATCGGAGGAAGCGGCCCGTGACGAGGAGCCGGTTTCTCGGGGGTTGGGTTTTCGATGGCTCGGGAGCCCACGTCGTGGAAGAGTCACGCCGGCCGGGGGCGCAGGGTGGTAGGGGCGGCGGAGGGAGAAGGAGGAAGAGGGTGATGAGTAAGAGGAGGAGGAGGAGGATGACGAAGAGGACGAGGACGATGAGACGGATAAGGAGGACGTGGACGAAGAGGAGGAGGAGGAGGAGGAGGAGGGGGAGGAGGAGGAGCAGGAGGAAGATCCTCCTCCTCGCCCCCTATCACCCTTCATTCTAGCACTCTCAGACGTGTCCGTAGGCTGGACTCGTCTCGGGCGTTTTCGCTTGAGTCTTCGCAGCCAGTTCTGATCTGGAAACTTAGACGTTCGAGCGCTCATACGAGAGGATGTTGTTGCCTTTTATTGACGGACCTCTCGCCTGAGCGCCATGCACATCCGTCTTCAAACTGTGCAGCAGTTGCACGGATGGAGGCTTTTCATCATTGTCCACGCATGTTCCAAAACATGCGCACAGGTTTCGAGCAGCATTTCGAGCCACATGTCTATGAGCAGCTGGACAGGCGGCACCAGCACCACGTTGGGCGGCGCCGTGCCGAAAGGCAGCAGTATTCTGACACCCAGGATTGGGACGAGCGGTGGCTCGCTCGACTCTGATAGCCGCGAGGGGGCGGGGGCGGGCCGCGCGTTGCCGTGCACTTCGTTGTGCAGCAGCGCGACGGATGCCGTGAGCACGTTGTTGAGCAGCACGGCCGGGTGCAGCACCACGACCTTGACATCCACGAGTGAAGCGACGCGTGTCGTGCGCCATTTCGTTCAGCAGCACGTTGCTTGCCTGCAATGCAGTTCGACATTGAGGAGGAAGGCAGAGGGCAGCAGCACGGTCTTCACATCTAGTTGGCGGGCCGGTGGCGCTTCGAACAGGACGCGTCTGAGCGGCGGGACGAGTAGCCGTGGCACGACGCTGGGGAGCCGATGCCAAACGGCAGCATTTCTCTGACATGCGAGTGGGATGACCAGCGATTCGAGCATCGTGCATCACGGCTCGAACAGCACGGCTCGCGATTGGTATCGGCAACACGTCTTTGAACACCACGTTGGAGAACACGCGGTTGAATCTGACATCCACGAGTGGGATGCGCAGCTCCGCGGCCGCGGTCGCGGAGCTTTGCCCCTTCTCCTCGGCCGCGCCTCTTCCTGCTCCTTCGGGCTCCCTCATGCGCAATTGCGCAGTTCGCTTCGCTGCCGCCCAGCGCTAGCTTGGCCGATTCGTGCGTTCGCCGAGACCGCGCCCATGAAAGTGGAATGCGCAGAGTGTCGTGCACTTGCCGGTGAAGTAGTGCGGTGGTTGCCCGTAGCACGACAGCGGGGGCAGCACGGTGCAGAGTAGCAGGACGGCCCTGAGAACCACGAGCGTGTCGATGAGCGTGTCGTGCACAATTTCGTTGAGCAGCGCGTTGCTTACCTGCAGCTCGGCATTGCGCAGTGAGAGGGAGAGCAGCAGCACGAGCTTCACGTCTATTCTGCGGGCCAGTGGTGCTTCGAGCACCGCGTCTGTGAACAGCCGGACAGGTGGTGGCACCACACTGCGCGGCACGCTGCCAAATGGCAGCACGACTCTGTTATCCACAGGTGTGACGGGCAATTCGACCACAGGAGCTTTTCGCAGCGCGATCTTGAGAAATTTAGCCGCATGGTTGGCATCGAGTGGATCCAACAGTGCGCCGCGCACCATTTCCTTGGGCTGCACGCCTGGTGCCATCAGCACGACGTGGAGCGTATATCACCAGCCGCAGCACCCGGACGTTCAGCAGCTCTACTGCCGCCATTGCGATGGGATCAGGAGCGCCACTCGCAGCATGCTGTGTTGTACGTGAAGGTGGAAACGGAGCCGGCGACCACAGTAGTCTTTTGCTCTGGGCTTGTTGTCGGCGCTTGTCGCGCAGGCAATGTGAAGATCCGTGCTTCAACCGTGGGCTGTTCGAGGTGCACGGGTCCAGGTGGCTTTGGTATGTTCACGGTTCAGTCTGGTGTAGCCTTCCATGGTTATTTTCTATGTCGTGGCCTCGTTTCTCGTCCCTCTACTCCGCTGCCGCTTTCCGTTCATGCTTGGAGTCGCGTTGATCCTGGACGCTTCGCGCATCCCCACCAGCCCGTCAGAAATGATTGCCAGGCGAGTCTGGGTGCGTCAGCCGTGCAGCCGAAGCTCGGAGTCAGCCTCAGAATGCCCAGTGGTGGCATTGCTGCGCATATCTTCGACCAAGAGAGCATAGATAAGTAGCAGGGGGAAGAAGGATGAGGATGAACGTAGAGGTGTGATGATGATGTTGAGGAGGAGGAGGAGGAGGAGGAGGAGGAGGAGGAGGAGGAGGAGGAGGAGGAGGAGGAGGAGGAGAGTGAGAAGGAGCAGGAGGAGTCCAATCTTCTCCCGGGCAAGCTTTACGATCTCCTTTGCTTCCTCATTAACCTGGACCCGTACGATCCTGGCCTCCACATGGTGCGCGACTGTGTGGGGCACGATCGACCGTCGAGCGTGAGTGGCCCTTCCAGTCTGGTGCTGCCCATACCTTGATGGCTGCCGGTGCCGGGGGGCTTGGCTCACCCCCAGTTGGTTGCTTTGGGCCTGCGGGCGCCTGCGGTGGCGCTGCCGAGTGCTCTCACCCTTCCCTTCCCCATCTCCTGCATGAACGCTGTGTTGGAGCTGGGCATGCTCGAGGACTCCGTCCTGCTCCCGCCTCTTCCCACTTTTTTAGAGTGTAGGCACCGATCCCGAGCCTTTCAGTTTTAGGTCGCGAGCGGGCAAGCAGGAGAAGGAGCAGGAGGGATGAGGAAAGGGGGTGGCGACGATGAGACTAACCACGGCGAGGAGGAAAGGGACGACGCGATTCTTTGTGACTTACATGTGCCTCGCTGCCCGAATTCAGGGTGTTGGGCCTGGACTGCTGTGCGAGGCTGCGTGCGTCCGGCAGCCGGACTTTGGAGAGATGCGGTGCTTCGCGAGTTCTTTGCCCGTCCCCTCACATTCAAACTGTTGTGTCAGCAGTGAGAGCGGACGCTAACGCATTCAACTAGCTGGCGGGCCGCGCCGGGCTATGGGCGCACTAATACCTGAGACATATGAGAAAGAGGAGGGCGGCCGCAGAGGAAGAACGCAGGGAAGAGGCCTCAGACGTAGAGTGCGTACGGCTTGCGGAGCGCGCAGACAGCCCCAGGCATTTGATGTCACGATACGCCCCGCATTCAAACATATCGTGCTGGAAGAGGAATGTGTATTACTAGCCGGCCGCTCTGCGGTTGATCGGGAGTTTCTGTATATAGAAGAAGGTGCGTGCGCTTGTTGGCGAGGGTGAGGATGAGGTTCCTCCTCCTCCTCCTCCTCCTCCTCCTCCTCCTTCCGTAGCCATTTTGGCTCAAGCCATTTTGGCTCAAGCCGCACTAACGATCTCGCTGTGAGCCTGCCCTGGCCTCAGCGATTACAACAACTAACGACTTGAAAGCCTTTCTGCTACTTTTGTACCGTTGCATGCGATGGGGCCTCCTGGCGCCGGCAAGCGTAGCGGCACCCGTGCTGATGGCGGCGGCGACGCTGGTTCACCCTCGAGCCGGTCTTCTTCCGAACGCAGCACCTCCCGCAGCGAACAACGTCGTCGTGATCTGCAACGCCGCCGTCAGCGGCAGGGGGGCGGCTGGGACCAGGGCGCTCGTGATCCTGGCCGGGCTACCTCGGGGCTTGCTGGCGGATCCTCCGCGGCTGACGCCCGCCCCGCCCTGTCCGCAGCGGAGTTTGAGGCCCTTGAAGCTATGTCCACGTTCCCGACGCAGGAGGCGGTCGCCATACACAGCCACCAGTCTTCGACGCCGGGTGGACCCGATCCATGGGCTGCATCTGCTGCTGGTCTTGGCGCTCCTCCTGCTCGTGCGCCCCCTCGCTCGGCTGTTGGCCCCGCGCAGGTGCCTCCTGCTCAGGCCCATGGTGCCGCTGTCGGAGCTACCTCACCGGGCCTCAATGTCCAAGATATCTCGCGGCTGGTCGCCAACGAGATCCAGACGCACACAGCCACCATCACAGCGCAGGTACAGACTGTGGTCACGAACACGATGGTTGCAGTGCAGGGCACCATTGTCTCCCAGCTACAGCAGCACTTCGAGCCCACGGTCCGCCGCGTTGACGGCCATGATGGCGACATTCGTGCACTCCAGCAGCAGCAGCAGCGGCTTGACGATGAAACACGTGAGCTTCGAGCTTCCATCAATCGGCTCAACGAGCGGCTGGCTTTGGGAGAGCAGCAGGCCTCTGCTATCGACCTGTCCCGTCTTGCCGACTTCGACCGCGACGCCCACCCGAACGTTTTCACCATCAACGCCAAGTACGACGTCGCCCCCGACCGGGTCTCACGCTCGCTTGATGAGTGGATCTCTGCCTCCGGCGTCAGCCGCGACGACATCATCATCCACGGCGATGGCCCCTCCCGCCGTTTCGTTCTGGAGGTCTCGGGCGGGCCCGCCGGTGTCTCCAAAGCGGTGGAACTGGCTAAGGCTCTGCGTCTTCCTGGTGGCCGTTGGCGGCGCTTCGATGCAACGTTCGTCAATGGCTCCACGGGACCCCTCTTCGTGGGTCCTGACAAGGCCCCCAAGCAGATCCGCCGCGAGCAGCAATCCAAGCGGCTGGCTGCCATCTGTGCCGAGAAGGTCCCGAATCTTACCTGGAGCGCCATCCGCCCCCGCGGCCTCGTGCAGGCGGATGGCCAGCCGGTGGTGGAGGTGGGAGTGCGCGGTGCCACAGAGCCATCCCGTCTCCTGTGGAACCAGGTGGTGGTGGCTCAGCTTAACATCGACAGGGAGGCCATCGACAGCGCCTTCCTGCGCGCCTACGCGGGCTACGACACCAGCACTTGGTCGTGGTCCTAACCTCTGGGGTCGCCCTTGGCTCATCTCGTCTTTGGAGGCTCGTCGTCCTTCCGACCATCTGCAGGTCATCACGTGGAATGCACGCGGTCTGTGCTGCCATCGCTCTTCTTCACGACGCTCCAAAATGGCGAGATTGGAAAAGTTTTTAAAAGCTAGGGCAATCATATTACTCCAGGAAGTGCATGGCTCTGTTCATGACATCGAATTCCTTCTCCGGCAGTACCCCTACGAGTACAAGACATTTTTCAGCGGTTGTGATTCTCCTGGGAGCGGTGGCGTTGCCATTCTCGTTCCTTGGTACAGTCAGGACCAGCTTCATCAGCTACCCCCTGGGTCGATTCCTACGTTTACCCCAAACGTTTGGTTGACGGCCGAGTCCTCGGACTCCACATTCGCGGACATGGTCAAGAAGTTCGTCTTCTCAACGTTCACAATCATGATCTTTCCCCTGATCATCGTCAGCGTGTTCGTCGGTATTGGCATGCTTGCACGCGATGGGCTGCTGCTGACGAGCGTCAGCGTCTCTTTCTCTCCTTGGGGGACTTCAATGTCTCCGACGTGGCACCTGCCTCTCTACTTCGGCCGACTGCTCGTCGACACGTGGAGGATCGTGGTCAACATCATCAGCCTTTTTGGAGAGCTCTGTTCGACCACGGTGTGGTGGAGATTACTTCATCATTGCCGACACACTACTGCCGCGACACGGAAACATGCAGCACGCTCGACAGGGCGTTTGTCTCGCTCTCCCCGGCCTTCCTCCTGGAAACGGAAGCTGCTCTAACAGTGCAGCAAGAGGCACCGCAGCTAGCCGACTGGAAGTTGAGTGACCACGCTATCTTGTCGCTGACGCTGCGTCCTCGACGGCCCCGCGCGCAACGTGAACGAGGCATCCCAGACTTTGTCTTCCGCTCTCGCCACTACCCTGAAGTCCTTCACGAATACATGAGCTGCGTTAACTGGGACGCGATGGGCTCGTACGACCGTTGGGCGCTCACGAAGGACCTGATGGTGCGTGCTGCCGCTGCGGTTCGGGACCGCCTCCAACGTCTCCCTATCTCATCTAATGCAGACGGGGCTGAGGACAGTCGTCGGCTCACATTGCGGAGCATTGCCAGGGCGATTTGGCAGCAGGACCTCACTTTGGCCACCACCCTCATCAACACCACCGCGTACGGGACACGTTTCCTTCACATTGATGGCGAGGCTGTTCACCTTGTCGATGGTGCTGACTTTCGAGATCTGGTCTGCACGGTCAATACGCAATGGCATCAAAGACAACAACACTATGCTGCCGCGCACGCCCGGGCTGGTAATCCGTTCTCCCGCGAGGATGCCTGCCTCAGTCGTGAGCAGTGGCGAAAGGTGCAGGCCACTTCTCAACGCCGCGCTCGACTATGGGCACCCATGAGGAAACAGCTGATATTGAACGGCACTCGGCACAACAATGCTGGCCACACTGCGGATACACAAGTCTTGGAGTCTGATGGCCTTGGAGACGCAGCTGACGTCCGACCACGCCCGACTGCCGTTACGACGGGGGGCCTTTGCCATGATCAGGATGGTGATGGTGCAGCAACTCGCGCGCGGCGAAATTCGCGCAGAGGTCTTGTCAGGCGCGCCGGCCATCTTGTCTCAACCTGTGCCTCAATTTTCTCCTCTGCTCCTATTTTGCCTGAAGCCTTGGATGTTGCAGCTGTGGTGGACAGTATTGCCCAACCCGTGGATGGAGATGGTGCAGCTGCTGGTGAAGGCCCCGGGGTGGCTCGAGATCCTGCTGACATGGCTGCTGCTTTGTCTCATCATTGGGCTCGTGTGTTTCAAGCCAAATCTGTTCCTGCTGACGAACTCTCCCCTTATCTCGCTTTGCACCTCCCTCGCTATGAACGTCCTCTGCTTCCTCTCCCGTCGAAGGCTGACCTGCGGCGTGCTCTCCGCCTTGGCAAGGCAAGTGCACCCGGCCCCGATCGCCTTCCGTATCGCGCTTGGCTGGCGAACGAGGATGCGACTGAAGCTTTGTATTTGATTATGCTGGACATCTTCAGCGGCCGGGGATCGCCACCAGGCTTCAACCACTCCCTGATGTGTTTCATACCGAAGGACGAACTACCCGAGGATTTGGTCGATGTGGCACGCTTTCCTGACGTGCTGCGGCCGCTTACTTTGAAGAACAGCGACTCGAAGGCCGTGGCATCTACGATCAACTCCTACCTTCGACACGTTGTTGAAAGCCGCTGCCACCCCTCCCAGAGAGGTTTTCTCCGCGGCCGCCAGTTTACTTCACGCATTGTGGAACTGGACGCCGCTGCCAGGAGGGCGGGAGGACACGAGGATGCCGCCGAGCGCATGCCATGCTTCCTCTCCTACGACGTGCAGGCCGCCTTCCCCTCCATGAACTGGCAGTGGATAGCCGCAGTCTTGCTCCACCACTGCTTGCCGGCTGGCTACATATGTGCGATCTGGGCTTTGTATCACGATTTGCAGGTCAGCGCTTGGTTTGGTGACGAATTCCGGTACTTATTCCAGGTCTCCGCTGGAGTTGCCCAGGGGTGCCCACTGTCCGGAACTTTGTGGGCATTGTGCTTCGACGCCTTCCTGTTCCACATCGCCGAGGGCATCGACGCTAGCGAACCGCCGTGCGACCATCTGGATGCCGGGGCGTGCGCCGACGATGTTGGAGTTGTACTGCCTTGTCTGAGCCAGGCTGCCCGGATTGAGCCAGTGTTTCTGGCTGCGCGCCGCCTCGCATGTCTTTGTTTGCAGCCTAAAAAGTGCGTTGTGGTCCCATTGTGGACTGCATGCTGTGCCGCCGTCGCTTCAGCTATCTCCTCTCTCCTCTCGGTCGTCGCTCCCCTCTTCTCCTCTTTCTCCATTGCTGGCCTCGCCAAGTATCTCGGCATCTTGTTCGGTCCTGCGGCCACCCTCGAGGCCCAGTGGGAAGCAGCAGCATCAAAGCTGGGCTTTCGGACCCGCCTCGTGGCAGCAACCCGGTCGCCGTCGGCGGCCTCTTGCCGCACGTACAACTCCTCGATTCTCTCCGTCCTCTCCTACCTCTGTCAGTTCTTTCCCCTCCCTTCCTCCCTCCTTTCCAAAGAGCCCCGGTTTGTTCATAAACTGCTTCGGCTGCCCCCGAATACGTTCAAACGAGACGAGCTGCTGTCTTTGAATGCCTGGATCCCTGGTCCCGGCCCAGCGTCGATGGCTGTTCTTGCCTGCGCTTCGGCATGGAGGTTTGCGGCCCACACTTATGGCCCCAGGGTTCGGCAACTCTCTTTCGAATTAGGGGAATTTGCAGTGTGGCACGGGCCGCTGGTCCGATTTATTCGCCAAGAATGGAGCCCTCCGTGTTGGCAGCGAGAACAGAGTATCGCACAGTTCCTCGTCTCGGTCTTGGACTGTGTGCCGCGCTATTCGCTTCGCTTGGACCAGCTTCGCGATGCCGTTGCTGCCGGCACGGAGGAATTAGCCGCCGCTGCTGTCGCCTCTCGCCATCCGAGGCCCCAGCGTGCGTTCGCCCAGGCCCTCACCCGCCTCGTCTTCCCCGATGTTCTCCCCTCTCTCCTCCTTCGAAGGTTGAGGGCCTGGCTCCCTGAGGTGCCCCTTCCCCCGCTGAGTGACTTGGCCCATCGTTGGGCTTTGCTCCGTGGTGTGCTCTCCCGGTCCAAGCCCAGCTGGGCTTGGGCCCACTTGAAGACTCTCGCAGGGGGTTGGGTCACCTCAGGTCGTATGCCCGTGCTGGGCCAGCGCCGCTGCTTGTTAGGGTGCGAGGATGGTCTCGATCGGTGGCCTCATTACCTGGCCTGCCCACGTCTCCTCCGCCTCCTCGCCCGTCCGAGGCTCTTCCTCCCCTCTTGCCCCCTGGCCCGTCTCGGCCTTGGCCTCGATTCAGATTATGATTCGCAGGTCACCCGAGAGACCACTCATCGCTTAGTCGTGCTTAGTTTTCACTTCTACCATAAACTCAAGGCAGAGCATGAGGCCTCGCCTTCCCGTTGTGGCGACCTTGAGGCCCACCTGAGGCTCCTGCGTGCCACGAAGCTGGCCATCAGCGCCTCTCGATAACCGAACCATGCCCTTATGAGTTACGTGCTCCTCCTCCTCCTCCTCCTCCTCCTCCTCCTCCTCCTCCTCTCCTCCTCCTCCTCCTCCTCCTCCTCCTCCTCCTCCTCCTCCTCCTCCTCCTCCTCATTCCTCCTCTGGGCACCTCCCCCGGGGCGCGGATCCACCGGATCTGTCCGGATCTGTCCGGAAACGGTGCCGGAGGCCGCTCTGGGCTCCTCTGGGCACCTCCCCCGGGGCCGGTTTTGTGAGGATGTCTCAAGCGAGGGCGCCGGTTTGGGATTCGTCGGCGGATCCACCGGATCCACCGGATCTGTCCGGAAACGGTGCCGGAGGCCGCTCTGGGCTCCTCTGGGCACCTCCCCCGGGGCCGGTTTTGTGAGGATGTCTCAAGCGAGGGCGCCGGTTTGGGATTCGTCACCGGATCCACCGGATCTGTCCGGAAACGGTGCCGGAGGCCGCTCTGGGCTCCTCTGGGCACCTCCCCCGGGGCCGGTTTTGTGAGGATGTCTCAAGCGAGGGCGCCGGTTTGGGATTCGTCGGCGGATCCACCGGATCCAGCGGATCTGTCCGGAAACGGTGCCGGAGGCCGCTCTGGGCTCCTCTGGGCACCTCCCCCGGGGCCGGTTTTGTGAGGATGTCTCAAGCGAGGGCGCCGGTTTGGGATTCGTCACCGGATCCACCGGATCTGTCCGGAAACGGTGCCGGAGGCCGCTCTGGGCTCCTCTGGGCACCTCCCCCGGGGCCGGTTTTGTGAGGATGTCTCAAGCGAGGGCGCCGGTTTGGGATTCGTCACCGGATCCAGCCGGATCTGTCCGGAAACGGTGCCGGAGGCCGCTCTGGGCTCCTCTGGGCACCTCCCCCGGGGCCGGTTTTGTGAGGATGTCTCAAGCGAGGGCGCCGGTTTGGGATTCGTCGGCGGATCCACCGGATCCAGCGGATCTGTCCGGAAACGGTGCCGGAGGCCGCTCTGGGCTCCTCTGGGCACCTCCCCCGGGGCCGGTTTTGTGAGGATGTCTCAAGCGAGGGCGCCGGTTTGGGATTCGTCGGCGGATCCACCGGATCCAGCGGATGTCCGGAAACGGTGCCGGAGGCCGCTCTGGGCTCCTCTGGGCACCTCCCCCGGGGCCGGTTTTGTGAGGATGTCTCAAGCGAGGGCGCCGGTTTGGGATTCGTCACCGGATCCAGCGGATCCAGCGGATCCACCGGATCTGTCCGGAAACGGTGCCGGAGGCCGCTCTGGGCTCCTCTGGGCACCTCCCCCGGGGCCGGTTTTGTGAGGATGTCTCAAGCGAGGGCGCCGGTTTGGGATTCGTCACCGGATCCAGCGGATCGGATCCGTCCGGAAACGGTGCCGGAGGCCGCTCTGGGCTCCTCTGGGCACCTCCCCCGGGGCCGGTTTTGTGAGGATGTCTCAAGCGAGGGCGCCGGTTTGGGATTCGTCACCGGATCCAGCGGATCCAGCGGATCCACCGGAGGCCGCTCTGTCCTCTTCGTCGTGGATCCGTCTTCTGGGCTCCTCTGGGCACCTCCCCCGGGGCCGGTTTTGTGAGGATGTCTCAAGCGAGGGCGCCGGTTTGGGATTCGTCACCGGATCCAGCGGATCCAGCGGATCCAGCGGATCTGTCCGGAAACGGTGCCGGAGGCCGCTCTGGGCTCCTCTGGGCACCTCCCCCGGGGCCGGTTTTGTGAGGATGTCTCAAGCGAGGGCGCCGGTTTGGGATTCGTCACCGGATCCAGCGGATCCAGCGGATCCACCGGATCTGTCCGGAAACGGTGCCGGAGGCCGCTCTGGGCTCCTCTGGGCACCTCCCCCGGGGCCGGTTTTGTGAGGATGTCTCAAGCGAGGGCGCCGGTTTGGGATTCGTCACCGGATCCAGCGGATCCAGCGGATCCGTCCGGAAACGGTGCCGGAGGCCGCTCTGGGCTCCTCTGGGCACCTCCCCCGGGGCCGGTTTTGTGAGGATGTCTCAAGCGAGGGCGCCAGTTTGGGATTCGTCACCGGATCCAGCGGATCCAGCGGATCCGTCCGGAAACGGTGCCGGAGGCCGCTCTGGGCTCCTCTGGGCACCTCCCCCGGGGCCGTTTTGTGAGGATGTCTCAAGCGAGGGCGCCGGTTTGGGATTCGTCACCGGATCCAGCGGATCCAGCGGATCCGTCCGGAAACGGTGCCGGAGGCCGCTCTGGGCTCCTCTGGGCATCCCCCCCGGGGCCCGTTTTGTGAGGATGTCTCAGGCGAGGGCGCCGGTTTGGGATTCGTCACCGGATCCAGCGGATCCAGCGGATCCGTCCGGAAACGTGCCGGAGGCCGCTCTGGGCTCCTCTGGGCACCCCCCCGGGGCCCGTTTTGTGAGGATGTCTCAAGCGAGGGCGCCGGTTTGGGATTCGTCACCGGATCCAGCGGATCCAGCGGATCCGTCCGGAAACGGTGCCGGAGGCCGCTCTGGGCTCCTCTGGGCACCCCCCCGGGGCCCGTTTTGTGAGGATGTCTCAGGCGAGGGCGCCGGTTTGGGATTCGTCACCGGATCCAGCGGATCCAGCGGATCCGTCCGGAAACGGTGCCGGAGGCCGCTCTGGGCTCCTCTGGGCATCCCCCCCGGGGCCCGTTTTGTGAGGATGTCTCAGGCGAGGGCGCCGGTTTGGGATTCGTCACCGGATCCAGCGGATCCAGCGGATCCGGGAAACGGTGCCGGAGGCCGCTCTGGGCTCGTGCTCTTCGCGCCGGGGGTGAGGATGACGTGAGTTCCACAGAAACTCCCTCAAATGATTGTGCGCGGCACCAAAGAGAGAGCCGCGTCAAGCACCACCCGCCCGCCCCCATCGCAGTTGATTGGAACTTTCAGTGCGAATGTGCGCACCAGGTAGGTGAGAGTCACATTTTGAATACCACTCGTCTTCTACCCGTACAGTTGTTGGGTATTTCAAGCGCCAATGCCATGAGCGGTGAGGAAGCCTGAGGCAAATCGCCCTGCCCGGCCTACCGACATGTTTGATGGTGTTCAGATGGCCAGTTACTCATATGGACTGGTGGTGGAGAGGGGGGACAAGGAAGATCAGGATGAGGAGGAGGAGGAACGGTCAGAGCCAGAGGAGGGGTAGGTGGAGGAGGAGGAGGAGGAGAACGATTTGGGACATTTCATTGGAGACCAGGGATTGTCGCGTTGATCGCCTTTGGTATGCTGCACTCCTGTTCAATTTTACCGAGGATCCACAAGTCGGAGCCGCAGCGCGCTGCCACATTCTTCGAGGATTGCGGCGGAACCGCTTTGATATCGTTGGTGCTTGGGCAGACCTTGCCAGGGAGAGACACCAATGAGAGCATGCGTTCCCAGTCTGTGTATCTGGCACCAGCGTACGCGTTGTAGTTCTTCTGAGGCACTTGCAACTATACTCGCTGAGTGCTTCCACCAGCACCGTTGAGAGAGCACCATGGGTATGTTGTGTATTGTTGGTGGTCTCCCAGCACAAGCAGTGTTAGGGTCCTTCTTAATGGTCTTGGGGTGCAGGGGGGATCCGCACAAAGCCACTGGCCCTGCTCGCTGTCGTCGTCTTATCCTCGCCCCCCTCTTGGGCTTACGATTTTCAGCCGCACGTCCGTAACAGCTCCTTGTGTAATTCCAATGCGTCCAACGATTACGAACGACTCGATCATTACTGCTGCTGGTTGGGTGTTTGTGGCGGGGCAACTTGGCACGCCGAAGGCCTTGTCCGTGCTGTCCTAACCTGGAGTGGTCTCCAATCGATGACATTATGCCGTGTAGATCTGTGTCAGGGGTGTTTGGCAGTAGGAAACAGCAGCCACATAGGATTGGGGGGGGGGGCGAAGACGTTCTCGAGATACTAGATCTGCCATGCTACCAACTGTGTGATGTACTATCTATCCTACCCATCATCGAGGAGGCGAGCAGACATTTTGGACCTCAAAGGGAGAGGGGCCTGATCTTGGATCATGCTGTCTTGTGCTGCCACGTCGGAGGTCGTTGCGCGGTGCCGCGGTGAAGCCACTCGGTGCCGTCTCTCGGTGCCCGGGCTCAGGGTTTGCAGCTGGACGCCGAGCCGCGCGGTGCCGCGCTGAGCTTTCTCCGCGCGCCGAGGAGCAGCCCTGCTCGACTGCTCGACTGCTCGGCGGCGCCGCGGAGTGCGCCAGTGCACCGAGGTGCCCTGCGGTGTCGTGCGTGGCGCCCCGAGGTCTGGCCTCGTCGCCGGGCGCAGCCTCGTTCTGCTCCCCCGCTCTCCCCTCCTTTTTCCGCCCTCTTTCGCCTTCCTTCCCTACTCCTCCTTCCTCCCTCGTCTGCGTCCTTTCCCCTCTCCTCACGGGTCCTCCTCCCGCCTCGTGAAGCTGTCAAGTGTCCCTCTGCAGGACGTCATGGTCGTCCAGTGTCGTGACGTGCCGCTTGGTGTGCCACTGTACCTCCCAGGGCAAAGTCTTTCGTTTCCAAGTTCGAATACATGTCCGATGCAGAGCCGCGTGGTGGGATACCACCAGCGCGACGAGGGCGATGGCGATCATCATTAGCTTCGGCACGGTGGCCCAGCGCCATGCCGTGCCGTACCGTGTAGGGAGGGTGGAATCGATCGCCCCGAAACCCGAAATGGTGTTCCAGTGCCTTGGCCTCCAGGGCCGGCGTGTAGTGCCCGAGCAGCTTGGCAATGGGCGGCTTGCGGTTCTCTCTCTCTCTACAGTGGTGGCGTCTCGAACGTGTGCAGCACTCGCCATGCCTTGGCACCTGTTGCCCCAGCCCTCCCCCATGCGGCTGGGCACACGCAGGTTCGCCGGCCACGTCGCCCGTAGCTGTGATGTCCGCTCGCTCCCCGCAGGAGGCTATCCGGTTGCGTTGCCGCGCATCTCCGCCACCGCGGCGGGGGCAGCAGCGCAGCGGCGCAGTGGCGCTGCAGCGTGCACGGCTGCAGTGGCGCACTGCTGGCGCGCTGCCTCGCGGAGGTTCCTTCGGACATCCTCGGGGCCGCTGGGGGGCCCTCTGAGGGGGTTCTCGGGTGCCTGCTTGGTGCGTGGGGGGCCTTTCTAAAGGGAGGAAGAGATACCGATACCGCTACAGTCGAGGCTGGTTAGTATAGGTCGACCCAGCCAATACAATGGTTCGTGCCCTTGTGTCCTGTGTTTCGCGACCTGTGCCTTCTACATTCCTATGGCAATGTGGCGCTGTGAAGGGTCTTGTGTCCTCTCGCGTGTTCTCTCCAATCATCCTCGACTGTACGCGTCTCTCGTCGCCACTTTTGGATTCGCCTCGAAATCCTTGTCAGAACGCGCATCGGGAGATGTCTGGAAAGCAGCGGTATCGGTATCTTGTTGTTGCGCTACTCTTGGGGGCCGCTCTTGGTCCGTCTTGGACCAAGCTTGGGCTGTCTTATTCGGACTGTCTGGGCCTGACCCCGGAGATCTCTCGGACCGCCCGAACGTCGCCTAGGTGGCACGGAGGCCGTTCGGAGGACTATTGGCGGCAGTCTTGGGCCCTACAGGGTGGTCAGCCAAGAAAGTACAAACATATACCGTAGCCATTTTGGCTCAAGCATCTTTGGCTCAGTCGAAACATTGGCGACGCCTTCGTCGCGATCCAACTGACAGTCCCCAGAGCCGTCGACGCACAGGCAGCTATGGCCGAACCAGTCGGCATGGAGCTGGCAGTCGTCCTTTGCGCGGCCTTGGTCGGTAGCGTGGTGAGCGCAACAGGCGGCTGCAACTGCATGGCTGGGTGGAGATGCGATGGCGATGCCGATGGCGTCGTGGAGTCGTGCGTGTGGGCGGCAGCTCCGCGGCCGACTGGGGCCAGAGCCTGTGCTCCGTGTGGGGCGGTTCCAACTGCAGCCAGGCCCTGAATTCCAGCGTGGCCAGCGAAACGCGCAAGTGGCGCGAGTGCGGCTCGTGCGGCTGCATGGTGGGCTGGAAGGCTGTAAAGAGAGCTGCCTAGCTGTTAGAGCGAGCGGGGAGCGAGCGCGCCCGCAACCTTTGTGGGTTCAATGGGGTCGACACCAGGATCTGCTTCATCGCTGTTGACCTCCAGCGCAAAGATGAAAAAGGTCTTTATTTACCCTTGCATCCCCGCATGGTTTTTCTTCTCGTTGGTGGCGGAGCTGGCTACACACGTGTGTGGCTGGTTCTGCTGCTTACGCTTATCCACGACATTATATGGATGACCACAATGGACTACCATGTGTCGACATCTTTTCGGGGAACAAGGCCAGGAAACTGGCGTGGGCAGCCCGGCAACGGGCTGGTGTCCAGTGGGTTTGAATCTGGCAACATATCTACTACGACTCACGCGCGAATATTTCCAACACCACCAACCACATTTCCAATACGACTCTATGTATATATGTCTGTATGTATGTATGTATGTATGTATGTATGTATGTATGTATGTATGTATGTATATACGTACATATATGTACATATATATATATATATACGTGTATACTCGACGGCCCTCCGTCACCGCGTTTCACACAACGCGCATACTCAGTTTGGCAACTGGTTTAGCTACACTGTGTTTCCATTGGTCCACGCAAAGCATGGGGGCATGAATCCAAGACCCCTACGACGCTTGACCTCTCCCCCCAGAAAGTGGAGCAGCACAAGAGCCAATTATTTTTATCCACTACATCATTCCCCTCTTCGGCATCGTATGGGCCATTTGCAGGTTAGGCGACACATTCGAACATTTAGAAAACGAACGACAAATTGACTCAGGTACCCGACACATCGTCTTTAGTGCACCTGCCGGTGACAGGATCGATTCGGCACTAGCTACAAGTGGGACGGTCAGGTTTGAGGCACGTCCAGTTGGATTAGACATCCCCAACTGCCACGTCCTGACCACCATCTAGTTTCGGGCCCTTCAGATAGGGCCTGTACGAGCAACCCAGATGCTGCAGCTACTGAGCCACAAACTGCTCAGAGCCCAGGCAGAACACGACTCACTAGTTGAAAAAAAACGATGAGTCGGCCACCTTGCCGAAAGATCTCCTGGGAACATCGGCGGGGTGTTTGGGCGAGGGCGCCTCAGCGCGTCGCGCCGCGCCAACTTCCAATCGGACTACGCCCTCCTCGGCGGCAGCGGCGGGGAGTAAGCAGCTACTGACCGCTACGCATGGTCAGATAATCCGAGTGTGGCAGCCGGGCAGCTGGCGGCAACAGTTGGACCTGGACACAATTTACCCACTCCGCCTTACCCACAGCGACTTGCGGAGCCAAACATGGTCCAGATGGGCTGCCCTCGCCTTTCAGCTCTGGCACAGATACAGGTGCATAGTCGCCAGAAGGAATAGAAGCAGCGGAACAGTCAGACAGTCCAGCGCATCTAACTGACGACCCAGACGTTTAGTCTCTGTATTTTGGCATGCGTCATGCAGAGAGGAGGTGGGGGATGCCCATGAATGAACCCGCACGACGAGCGCGTATACTAATACGACGTACATTGCACGCGAGGGGGCGTGTCAAGGGTAATTGTGGACTGAGGGACTTGCGCGGCAACTGCATTACTTCGTTCATTGCCCCTTTACCCTTGGTCAGTATGATGCAACGTTCCACGGAGGTAAGTGGGAGAGTCCTTGTCGCCGAGCCGCAGGCAACGGGAAAGGTAGGAACCTCGCCCCTATCGGCAAGGATGGCTGCCGCACGCTGCGCAGCACACGTGGGCCCCCAACGCATATTGCATCGTAGCGCAGAAAGGGTAGGGCAGGGGGAATGCGGGTACCGCTGCCCATGTGGGTTCAGATGTTTGGATAACGCGACTACGACAAATTTTCCCGAAGGTGAGACGGCGCACTTCACCATGACCTCCATTTGCATAGATGCATTCGATGAAATCGAGGACAACATGTGGAGTATCCGATGCGACGCACTGATGCCGTATGATCAAGTGCCCATTACGTTCGAGCAGTGGGCAATATTTGGCAACGTGCCCCGCATGCTCGGCGCCGAGCTGCAGCGCAGCGACGTGCTGGAGAATGGTGAGCACCCCATGGAATGCGACATGCATCCGCGTTTGGCCCCACCGACGGCCCCAGCGTCAATTGTGCCGGCCACTGAGGATGAAATGAATGCAATGCTCAGCGACGAGCTTGCGCCGCAGGTCAGCGGCGCACCGTCCGACGACATCGAAGACACCGACGTCTACTCGATCACCGCGGGGGGCCCTCAGGCCACCCCCCGCCTCGCTATCTACGGCCAGAGGACTGCCCCAACACCGCCTCGCGGCGGACTGCGCCAAGACGAGGTCTCCGCGGAGTGCTTCGCGGGGCGGGGGAGCGGGGGTCGGGCTCCCGGCAGCGCGGGCCCACGGCGGCGCGAAGACGGCCGATGTTGGGATCGCGCTGCGCGGGCGCGGAGATGCACGGATGGCCGGGCCATCCGCGCACCATTCAACCGCGCGGTGGTTGCCGGCCAGGGGCGCCGTGTCAAGCGGGCAGCCATCGACCGCGAGACGCATCGCATCTTCTTGTATGGACCATTTGGATCTTCTTGAAGCCCTAACATGGGTGCTTCCTCCCTGGATAGAAGGGCGCGGATGCGGAGCGGGTGGTCCGGCATCTCGGATCGAAGATTGTGTCCGTTGCTCGCGGGTGGGCGCGGTGCAGATCAACCTCGATTACGACGCGCTACTTGAAGACCATCGCCAGAAGCCCCGCTGCGCCAAGGTCGAGCCGGGCCCCGCTGAAGAGCGGGCGCGCTCAAGGGAGCGAGCGCGGCAATCTGCAGACGTGGGCGCGCAGTGAAGTCTCGGCCCGAAGCGCTCCGATGCTGGGGCGGAGGGCCCGCCGCCAGATCCTTGGGCACGTCGTGAACGCTTGCGTCTCCAGATTATCGCCGCGCCCAAGAGGGCCGCCAGAGCAGACGCGCGACGGAGGAGCAGCGCGCGAGGCCCTCTCCCCTCCAGCTTGACAGCGACGACGCGAACGCGAAGGCGCCGGTCTTTCCTCGACCCATGGAAAGGAGATTCCATCGCGAAATGACCAGATGAAGGAGAGGGTGGGCCACGCGGTCAAATACCCACGCGGGAAGCTGGATGGGGGCATGAATCGCGGGGGGGCTCGCGGGGCGGCGGAAGAGCGCCAGGGCGCCAGCGACTAACAGGAGCGACAAGCCCTCATCCGTCAGCTGAAATCGCAGTCGCATCAGGGCCGCCAGAATGCCAGGGAGTAGGATGCGGAGTTCATCGCCGACCTTTCTGAAGAGACATGGCACGCCAGGTGCCGGAGACCCAGCGCCAGTTAAACGTGGACCTCCACCAACTGAGAAGCAGCTAATGTGTCATCTCGTTGAGCAGCCTGGTCGGTATGCCTTGGACTCCAAGACGCGGCCTAGCACGTCCCAGTCTCCTTCAACTGGATCGCGGTCGCGGGCGCCATCGGCCGCGCCATCCAAGGCGCCGTCGGCGGCGTCCGAGCCGGGCGACGGCGCGACGCTGGGCGCGGCTCGGCCGCGAGCGTCTTCGATTCGCTCGGAGAAGCTCGAGGGCAAAATTGCCGAGGGGAGACCCATTGCGCAGCCCCTGAACTGGGAGAAGATCAGGGCGCAAAGGCCGACCGATTCGCGCCGGCAATCAGGCGATTAATTGAAGCGCGTTCGGCAAGCCTCTACGGAACGGTCTGCCTAAATATCCCTTCGACCTTCGGAATTTGAGGCTGTCTCGTCAACGTCCCAGCCGAGGAAGCAACTACTGGTCGGTCCTCTGCATGGCAGTGTCTCCCCATGCATCGCGGCACCCGGGCCCCAAGCATCCGCGAGCCCCCGCCGGCGAGAACGGGGCCGCGCCCGGCGGCGCGCTCCGGGGCAGCTGACGCCAGCAGGGGCGTCCGCGCCCAAGCCCGAGGGGGCGCCCGATGCCGGGATTTCAACGAGTGCTAGGCGTGAGACATCCCCCAGCTGACGCCAGCAGCTACCACGAGGGGGACGCGCTCTGCCCCGTCCTCTTCCGCACAAGTTGCGAGGCCCAGAAGGGCTGTGAGCGGCAGGATGTTCGGAAGTGCCTCCGACAAGAGAAGCCGACCCACCTCGGGCAGATGCTTCAGGAGCAGACCCTCTACGGAGACTGCGTGGACAAGCTGCCCTACTTCCGACAGGAAGCCATGTCGAAGTGGTTATCCGGTTGCTGTCTTCATGGCCCGTGCCGTGGTGAACCGCCGTTTGGCATCGTCGGCCCGTTCGGATCCATCGATGAGAACGATCAGGTTGTGCTGGCGCAGCTCGACGACTCTGAAGACCGGGTCGCCCCCGCGTATCCATGCGGTTTCAACGCGGGTGATTCAGACGAACCGCTGGAGCAGTTCGCCATCGCGGAGCCCAGGGCGCTGGCGCCTAAGGCACCGACAGAGAGCGCCTCGACCTTGGACGCCGCGGGGCAGGGCGACCTGCGAGAGCCTGGCGGCGGGCAGGCTGAGCGGCCATACGATGCACCTACACCAGCCGACATCACCGCGCTCGCGCCAGAAGGTCGCATTCCCTTCGTGGGCATACTTCAGCAGCGCGATCCCTCGGCTGCGGCCGCGGCCATGACAGCCGCCGCTTTCTGGCGCGGCAACGCGCGGGCTTGGCGCCCGCCGCCCCGTCGGCGCTCGGGGCGCTGCGGCAGCGCCAACTATGCCGCCGCCCGGGGCACCGCCGTCGGAGGCCCCAGGCATCTCGGCCGCCGCCGGCCGACATATCTCGCGGGGCGGAGAACTTACGGCGACGGCCGGAGCTCGCGGCAGCACTGCGACAGACCATCGACCTCGGCTCACCACGCCCCTCAGAGGTCCAGCGGGCCACGGGGGCTGAGCGTCGTGAATGGCCGCCTCCGAGCCGCGAGCATTGCCTTGATCAGCCGCCCCCGAGGGGTGGCGGCAGGGGCTGCCAGCGCGGCGACGGCGGCGCATGGCAATGTGCTGCGGACGCCCGGAGACAATTCATTGAACAGCAGAGGCGTCGCACCACGGAGGATCTGAAGGCATTGGAGTTGACGGCGCGCAACGGCTACACCTGGTGGCCCCCGTGGGAATGGATACCAGATGGAAGTTTTTCGCCTGATGTGCGAGGCCGGTGCCGGTTTGCACCTGCGCGCGCCCGTCGCTGCAGGGGCCACCTCCCGCGCCAATGGGCGCGCCAATGTTCCCGAAGTTCCACCGCGTGGCGGACGGCAGGCCGCGGCAAAATGCAGCCGCGGGTAACTCCTGCACGCGGGGCATGACGGAGGAGATCCATCGGCTCGGCTGGGCGCGCGTCACGGACCCAGGTGCGATGCCATCTGCGGCGTTTCAACCTGCACGGTCCGATGGCGACGCGCGCGTTCAAGAGCCCGGCTTGCGCCTCGGTGCAAACCCATCACGCGTTCCTCAACGCATCATCGTTCCCCACCGCGCGCGGCAAGCGATAATGGCGAGGTGTGAGCGGGTTTGGCAGCCGCGGCTGCCGCGGGCGAGGGGGGGCAACCAGCGCGCGCGGCACAGCGACAACATTATTACAGGCGCCGACGACGCAGCTGGACACGGCGCAGGTGCTATCGCCGGGGCCGCCTGACTTCTCACTGAACGAAACGGCGCTGGAACGGCAAAGGCGGACGCCCGCGAAGATGGCGGCCCCGCTCGTTGTGGACGTTAACTTCCGCGCGTGCCATCTGCCTGACAACGCGTTCGCACGGGGCGCGGAAGTCTGGCGCCTGCAGGGCAAACACCAGTCTCACGGAATGTGCCGGGATAGCATGGCAAGAATGCAAATCCGCCTCCAGAGGGTGGACGCACCAGCGGAACCGACATGCTCCATCTGCAGTGGACGAGGCATCGCTGCTGCCGTCTATGGGCATGCTGGACGAAGCTCTGCTGGTGACAGCCCCCTGGTGAGGCTCGCAAAGCACGCGCATCAATTGCTGAGCTGAGGGCGCTGCGGTCCGAGGTGGAACAGCGACGGCAGCGATGCAGTGCAGCTCGGCAAAAAGGTTTTTTTTTTTTTTTGTTCCACAGACAAGGTACGCATGACGATCCAGCGTTGGCGACGCAGCCGGCTGCATAATCAGCCCAGGGAGTTCCCCCAGAAGAGTCCGAGAACCCGATCAACACAGGCGGCTATCCACGATTGGGTCGTTTGGACCGCGTGCAGCAAGGCGCCATAAGCGAAGTGGTTCGCCTGGCAACGGGCTCGGGCGGTGGAATCCTGAGGCGGCGCCCCGCAAGCTCGGCGACGAGCCGGGTGGGCTGTCCTCGCGGCGCGAGGTCCCAGGCACTGGCTGCGGATGAGACGACGGCGCTGATGATGCATGAGAGTGACCATCGCGTTCCATCAACGCTACTTGAAGATGCCCGAGACCAATTCAATTTTGCGCCGATCACGGAGGACGAGGTGCAGGAATGCTAGATTGGGATCCGTCGACTATGAGGATGAGCTTGCTTTATATGCGGCGGCGTGGCAGCGCGCATGAGGGCATCTCTGCATCAGAGCGCACGGATGGAGAGCGCGCAGACATCAATGCCGCTGCCCAGCAGCCTAATCGCATCAGGCTGTCTGACGGCAGGACATCCCTGCTGTTTGACACTGGCTCCAAAATCAAAGTGGTCGGCGCGAATGCAGTCTGCCGGGTTTGACCGGAAGTCCCGCGAGGCGACAGGTAGAGTGTCAATCGAGTCGGAGAGGGTAGTGCGCCGTGCGGCACGCGCGGCGTCTTCCCAACTGCGTGTTCGTGCCAGGACAAGATCCAAGAGGGTACCTACGCAGCGTATATTGCCAATGGATGTGGCGTTGATCTGCCTGCTATCTTCGGCTTGGAATAGACCCAAGACATGGCGGCCATCGTCCTGTTCGAGCGCGGCAGAGAGGTGCTGGTAATGCCCGGAAGCGAGCCCTACAAGGTACGCCACGGTAAAGGAGCAGGGATGCTGATGACAGAAACGTCCGTATTTGGGCATTTCTGCGCACCGCGTGGCGAGTGGCAAGAGCGGCAACGCGCGGATGCCAGCGCCGAGGGCGCAGCGGCATATTCGACCTCTTTCACGCGTGTGGACACGGCAGCAGATAGTAGAGTTTCTAGCCGCGCATTTGGCGCAGTAGCTCGACGAGAACTACCAGCGCCGCGACGAGGAGGCCAGGTTTCAGGCTAAACAGAGATGCCAGGACATTGGTTTGGCTGCTGACAGTTTCTCCAACATGCACGGCCACGCGCAGCCCCCCCCCCCCCCCCCCCCCAGTCTCACGATAGATGAGCACGTCGCGATGGCTGTGGCCAAGGCCTTGTACGAGAAGTGCCTGGATATTGTGGATACAGTTGCGTTTGTAAGAGATGTACAAGATTCCGTCCTGGACATGATCGGCGGCCAGGTTTCCTGGATGGGGACAGGAGGGTCTGGCCCTGAGCACCAGCACGTAGGCCACTAGGGAGGGCAGGGCGGCGATGGGCCCGCGCCTGCCTTGCTGGCGCAGGGGCCCACAGGATGCGCGGGCGCTCGCGCGCAGATTCATTTTCAAGCATTTGTTCTGGAGGATCAGAAGGAGGCCGCCGACGCCCTCCGCCAGCGAAGTTTTCTGTTCGACCGTCTCACACATTAGGGGGTATTGTCCTCGCAAGGCACGTTCTGCCTTGGAGGCTACCTTTCGGTTGACTGTTGTCACTGTTGTCTTTGGTGGATTTCGAGTCCTGCGGGTTGGCGCATGCTGGCCCCTGGCAAGCGCGCCGCGCCGCAGTGGGAGAGAATCCGCAACTGACCTGCCTCAGGTGAGGTTCGCGTCATCATGTTCGGTCCTTCTGGACGCATGTGGCACATCGCGCCCGTGCGTGACGCATTGGGCGATTTGCTCGTACATGTTGCACGCATGCGCTTGTGCAGCTTTTGTCGTAAGACTGATAGACGCAATGCGGCGCCCAGCGGATCATGCATACAAGTGGCCACATAATACGCCATATATGTAAACCCACGGAGTGCACTTGTACAATCGGCACGAAACTTCGCGCGCTCGATTGGTAGGGCCACGCTGGAGCCAGCTGAATGGCGCGCACATGCGCGCGAGGTCTGTGACGCACGAGTGGTGAAACGGGATATTGTAGCGCGACGAGTAACATCGGTTGGTCCAAGCAACTATTCAATCATATAAGCCATCCGCCTCAAAGAATAGCCAATTACATGCGGCTGACATGCTGGACATCCACCAGGCGTGCGCGATGCGACTACACGACTGTATTGGCAGCCAGAGGGTACCAGCCTGCTCGGAGGCGAGCAACAGTTAGAAACGCCCACATGAGAGGCACCCCTTGGTCATCGACGATCGTCTCCCTCATCTTTCTCAGCTTGTGAGCGCGAAGGTGGTCCGCCCGTGCAACTTGCGTTCCCAATCGAAGCTCGGATCCAGTAAGAGGCTCAACGCAAGCCAGAGAAGCCATACTGAAGCCGCGCACAATTAAGAAGCAGGCCGAGTTCGGAAACTACGATTGCGGAAATGATTTGGTAGTCCTAGGCTCGGACGCAAGTGCAACCCACTTGAGTTGGGGGTGCTCCTGCGCCGACGAGACCGACGAATGCATGTGCATTTGTGTTCCGACATGGGCGCCGGCCGCCGAAGAGTCAGACATCTATCCCATGCTGCCGACACCACGCCGCGGCCCCAACGGTAGCGCGGGTCTGCTGAAATTCTGGGGCGGGTAAGGCGGCATTGCCAGGCGGGCTTTCAAGCGCGGGCCGACGTCGGACGGGCACCTGGAGACGAAGACAGACGTTGATCTGAGAAACAATTGAAGCACATGGGATTGGACTTCACGTGGAACTGCCGCGTGGAGACAGTCATCTTGCCACCCAGCTGCAGGACCACTGGCCTGCCATCCTGTTCCACCGCTCAGGTCAACTACGAGACATGGCTACAACGCCATCGGGGAGACTTGCCGCGCATTGCACGCTGTGGCACGGTTGCCTACGTTCAAGACGAACCCAGGAGACACTACATCAGAGAACAGCCGTCTGGTACCTGGGTGGATCAGATCCATCCATGGACCGAGGTAGCCAAGCGCCCGAATCCGCGAATGCTCATCATTCACCATTGTGCTACTTGCGTCAGAACGGCTGACGCCATCCATATCGAGGAGCCAACTGACAGCATGGCTACTGATCCCGTCCTGTTACAGCGTTTCAGGAAGTTCCTGTCGGGGGACATGTCCATGCGCAGGTCTGCAACAGAGCCCTTGCTACACCCTGTTCGCATCGCGCTCAGTCAGCACTCGTTGAAGAAGATCGACTCATGAGTGACAAGGCCGCGCATGGATGCATGCTGGAACCTGGGCGCGGAGATGTGCTGGTTTATTCTGTGGGCCATGGGTTTGCCCTCGCTGATCCCGCGATCCACAGGGCGCCTGCTGGCGTCGGAATGCGACCACCGCCGGGGGGGGTCGGATGCCCAGCCTGCGCAGACAACGCTGTCATGACAGGCCCGAAGCACACGCGCAACCCAAAAACTTGCCGCTGGCATGATCTGTCCGCGATTGGATGCCCGAGCTGCAAGAAGGCCTAGGTCGCGCGGTGCCAGGGCACTGGCTCGCTGCAGGCAAATGCAGATTCGCCTCGCCACGTGCGCGGCCACCGGGTGGTGGCGCGAACCCGCCAGCGCCGCTATCAGCGGGGCAACCTGCAGAAGCGCCAGCACCGGCGCCATCCAGCGCCAGCAGCAGCGGGGCCTCGCCAGCAGCAGCCTCGGGCCAACATGACAGGCGATCGCAAGCACCGGGGCCAGACGCGCGAGCGGACCCCAGCGCGGCAGCAAGACGTGCGCGCGGAGACGCGCTTGACATTGGTCGAAACGAGCAGACAATGGGCCGACGTGGTAGGGCCCCATGAGTCACGCTATCGCCTGAGGTTACAAGACGTCGCGGCAACCGTACGGGACCTCCACAGAGTCGAGATTGGAACAGATTCGATGTCCAAATGAGGCTACAGAACCTCAGGGGCCATGATCCTGCAGTTGTGCGAGGTGGTCTTTCGGTAAGCAGCGTAAGTTGCACCTCAGATAGCATCGCGCCAAAGAGCCCCTGATGCGGCGAACTATGTCAATTGTTGGCCGCGACTCCGTCCGTTTGGGAATGACCTTGGAGGTCTACGCCACCTGTAGAGAATGTCATGCGTGGGAGAAACTTGGACACGCCATCATGTCAACAGTGAGCCTACCAGGCTACTTGAATGAGGAGGTGGTGTGCGACCTCGCTCTCTATAGAAGCCGATCATCTTTCATACATGTGACCGCTTTATCAGATGGAGTGCCAGTCAGGAAATCCCGGACCGAACCGCGCACGCCATACAGGATGCCCATCATTACTGCCAGGGCATTTACGAACCAGCGCAGGTCCTATACTCCGATGGAGAAGGCGCCCTAAACAACGACGCGGCGAAGACGTACTGAAAGACGCGCGTTCTGAGCTTCGGAAGCGAGTCTCTATCATCATGCGACCACCGTCGAAGCTAAACATGGCATTCCGCGCGGCACGATGCATATCGTGGAACAGGATTTGAATAACAGGGCTATACCGATACCGTTCAAAAAGGCTCCGTGTTGACGCCTTATTTGCGATTCGCGCCTTCACCATCTACAGCTGCGCATCATCGTGCAATGCCCTACTTTGGCGTCAGAATGCTTGCCTACCTGACTCAAACGTGTCTGAGCACGATGCACCGACTGAAACGTTGAATCATATCAGGGAGCAGCATGTGCGCCAGGCAAGCACAGAGACTACCTCGCAGGAAACTGCAGCGCGGCGAAAGCCAACCGGCTTTTCAAGACAACCATCAGACAAGCTGGACAGCATCATTCCAAAGCTGGTGAACTCGTTGACTACCATGGGCCTACAGCGAACAGGGACGACTAGAGAGGATGGAGTGGACCATTCCCACCACTACGCCATATGGCTGATCGAGGACAAGTAGTAGCACAAGCCAGGTTTATATACATCCTAATACAGCACCCCGGCGTCCGACACGCGCTGTACAGTGAAGCTCCTATGGCACGTGAAGTTTCATCTGGCAATGCTGCCATGCCTATAGTGGATGCCTTCATTGCTTTTCTCGCTGTTGGGCAACCGGACACTATGCGTGGGTATACTCCTGATTCGCGAGGCAATTTGCGCAGGGAGGTTGGGAACAAAATGCATCCACAGCTACACTCTGCACTGCAATACCCCATCCGGAATTAGCTCAGGAATGAGACTGTAGACGCAGTGCGCCTCGCAAAGAGCGCACGAGCTACCGCAATGCGCACGCGCTGACAGCAGCGCGCTCATGCACGACGGAAACGACGTGGATCTTGTATTCCACTACAACAAAGCGAATGGGGCCGCAATAGTCATTCAATGCATCACTGGCGGCACCCGCTCCAGGATCATCCAATGTCTTGAGTCGCGTAAGCCCGTAGCTGGATTTGATGAGGACTTGGCCACATTCCAGGAACTGGCCGACGGTTGTCCTGGCAATAACCAAGAAGATCAACCACAGGAGAACAATGCCGAAACACCATCGGCTGGTCCCGATGCAGGTCGACTCCCACCGATCCAGGAGGAAACGGGGGAGGACCTGGACGCGCGCATCATTGGGCCTGGTACGCAGAACCCATATTGAAAGAGATCTGCAACAGGAAGAACCTTTGGAAAGCCACTTATGGCCCAGCTCTCCTCGCCGTGCCGGCGCAACTTATGCAGACGAGTGCGCCTTGATCTCCGCGATGTGCGAGGAGCAGGGTCACTTCCGAATGCGCTTGGCAACGGGCCAGAATAACACTTGGAATCGCACGCTATGCCCGCGCGACTGCGCGAGCGCCACAACCGTTGAACGAGGGGCGCCGGCCGCCGCGGAGAAGATTTATTAATCGCTTCGCTCATTCCGCCGGCCCTGGGGCCCTCTTTAGGGCCTCTTGGGGGCCTCTTGGGGACCTCTTGGGAGTCTCTTGGGGCTCCTTGGCGGCGTCTTGGGGGCCCCCAGGGCCTCTTGGGGTGCTCTCGGGGGCCTCTCGGGGCAGGGGCGGGGGTAGTCGATTGCGCCCCCCCCCCCCCCCCCTCGGAGGCCACGATCCTCGTGGGGGGTGTCGAAAAGTTGCCCGGTCCGGCATCTCTGACCCCCGCCCTCCTGGGGACCTGCCGGGGTGCTTTTCGCCCGGGGGCTCCTAGGGGCCGCCGCGCGCGCGCGAACTAGAAATGCTGTTTACATGTTACCGGAGATCTTAGCACGCCCTGGCCCGTTGGGCCGGCGAATAAGCATTGCTCATTAGCGCGGCAAACATGGCACAGGTGGTAATTATTCTCAGAACAACAACATTAATTGCTAAACGACACGGAGACCGCGGCGATGATGGCATGCGTTGCTGCAGCTTCTCCGAGCGCTGTAGTCGTCAGAAAGGATTACCTACCTTACTGACGAAGGCAGTGATCCAAGCAAGCCCCGCGAAGGTATCGCAGGTCCTATACGCCGCATCTCGCGCGAGAACGAATGCCTCTGCATGCGCTCGAGCGCGCGGGCCGCTCATGTCACGGCGCCTCGTTATGCGCGCGCAAGGCAATTCGCCGAGCGCGAGGAGGGCGAGATGGAGCGGGCGGCGCGTCTTAGGTTCGCGCTGCGGAGCTCCGTTGACTTCGAGGCCTTTGGCGTCGGAGCCTTGCGAGGCGCAAGGCGCAGAGCTCGTCGGAGGCTCCGGGCCAGCGCGGCAGCGTGCAAGACGGGGTGGACTCTCGATTTCCCAGGTGTCGACGAAGTCCCCCTCGAAGGCCTCGCGCGCAAAGAGCTCGCCGCAATTCCCGGAGAAAACGAGAGACTCGTGCGTTACGCGTCGCCTCGTGGCTCTGCCGCGGCGCCGCGACCATAGCCAGCCTTTGCCGGCTTTGACGGCGCAGAGCAGCGCTGTGCGTTTGAAGCCTGGCACCGGCATCGAGGGCACTCTCGTTGACGCCCGGGGCGATCGCGAGCGATTCGGGCTTCGCGGCGCGACGTGCGACGAAGAATTTGAAGCGATCCCGACCCCGATGACGGCCGAGCACGCCGATGGCGCAGACGTAGCCAGCGAGGAAGCTCGCTTCGACAAACGTGTACAATGCGCGGGAAGACGTTTGGTAAGTGCAAGCTAAACGAGCATGCGTATACCAACTGTGCTGTGCGATATTCGAAATTCCCGAACGGGGGCGTCACAGTGGACCGAGGTGGGTACGTCAAGCAGCGGAGAGCCATCCACCGCCCCGAACTGACGGGGGCAGCGCCCGAAGACAGAGCCTCCAAGACGGTAACTGACATGTTCGTAAATCTGATGGGGTGCATTGGCATCTGCTCTCATCGAACAGGTATGGCCCATAGTCTACGTCGTCACACTTCAAAGAGTTCAGGCGCCGACGAACATTCAAGTTCGGCGGCTGAACGCGGCGGCCAGAAAGCTATTAGCTTGTCCAAAGAAAATTGCGCATCCAGCAATGGCGCCAACGGGCGAGGTAGATATCCACGGCGACTCTGGATACCGCTGTTTGATGGGAGACGCGGATGGTCGAGAAGCAGGATGCGGCTTCCGAGGGGGAAACATGCTAAGGCGCAGTAGCGCGCGAAGCGGCGCTGCCGTAATCCACCAATTGGGCGCAGACTGCAAGTCGCATCGGCTTCAGCGTTCGAGCTACTCAGCGGAATCGCTAGCTGTGGCATGCAATCTCGAGGGCTGCTACCCGACCAAGTCACGCTACGGGAACTACAGATGGGATCCACAATGCACCCCGAGGAATTGAACAACGCGTTGGGAAAGGGTGCCCTTTGCATCGAGGTATCTCCCGCCATCGGTGCCGCGTCTGTCTCGAAATCCCCATCTCGCAAGGGTCTGCACACATCCTGCTGAATGTACCTTGTTTGAACATGTCATTCGGAGGAGAAAGATCATGGAGAGGAGGATTGTTCATTGTGTTCAGTGGTGTGGCACGCGCGAGATGGCGACAGCCACACCGAGTAAAGATAGCATCGACCGCGAGTTGTTCATGCAGGCGGTGTCAGGGCAGCAGTCATTGAATCATGGCGTAAATAATCATGTGCCACATCGTGGTCGTGCAGAACGCGCGCGGCACTGAGCCTGGCCTTCGCGGGGCTGCGGACCATGCAAGACTCAGCCTAGCAGCGGGCGCCCACCTGCGAGCGGGCGCGCATTTGTTCTGATGCTTGGCAGCAGGCGTTCGACATCGGGCCTGTGCGTTCTTTCTGTGGCCTGGCCATCCAGCCTAACGTCAGGCACGTGGCCGCAGGCTCTCACCGTTCATTATTTTGCTTCGCCCAGAGCACGCGCGCGATGCTGCCGGAGATGAGCTGCCGATCAGCTGTCGCTCGTCGCCGCTGCGCCACTGGCCAGATTTACCAGGCCAGTGGCGCAGCGGCGACGAGCGACGAACCCCGATGCAAGCCCTGATCGGCTACGCTTGAGGTGTGCGATTAACGGCCCAGCGGCCGCTCTCGGCTGGATAAAGCAGCGCTCGCCGCATGCGCCGATGGGCGCGCAACTAGTATTCTCTTTACACATTGAATCTGGAATCACGCTTTCAGCCAAGCTATTGCGACGCGCACTTTCTCTTCCCGCCCCGAATGTAAAGGGGGCCGCCTAGCTGTTAGAGCGAGCAGGGAGCGAGCGCGCCAGCAACCCTTTTGGGCTCAATGGGGTCGACGCCAGGATAGTAAAAATCGCTATCGACTTTTATCGGGTAGAGGAAAGCGCTCATCTACCTTTACATCGCCTCATGGCTTCTTTTCAATTGGAAAGACGACGGCGATTCCGATGGCGTTGACGCCAATGGCGCGATGGAATCGCGCGAGGGCTGCAGCGCCACGGCTGAATGGAACAAGAGCTGGTGCTGCGCGAAGGGTGGTTCCAACTGCAACCAGGCCCTTAGTCCTAGCATGGAGTGCGAGACGCGAAGGTGGCGCGAGTGCGGCTCTTGCAATCGCATGACGGACTGGACCGAGGATGGCGATGCCGATGACGTAATGTGGTCGCACGAGGACTGCCGCGGCATGGGCGACTGGGACCACAGCTGGTGCTACGTGCAGGGCGGTTTCGAGTGTCAGCCAGCACCTGATCCCCAGCGTGATCGGCGAGACGCGTAAGTGGCGCAAGCGCAGCTCCTGCAAGTGCATGGCGGCGTGGACCTACGATGGCGATGCAGATGGCGCTATGGAGTCGCACATATGGGCGCAGCCTCGCGGCTAATTCGGGCCAGAGCTGGTTCTACGTGCACGACGGTTCTTATTGCGATTGGGGTGGCTCTTATTCCATCGTGGCCGGCGAGACGTGAAGGTGGCGCGACTACGGCTCCTGCGACTTCATGTCGGAATGGAACTACGATGGCGATGCCACGCCACGGCCGACTGGGACCAGAGCTGGATTATGTGCAGGGCGTGTCCAATTGCGGCCAGGCTAAGGATTCAGCGTGGACGGAAAGGCGCGCAAGTGGCGCGAGCGCGGTTCCTGCAAACGCATGACGGACTGGAACGAGCATGGCGATGCCGATGGCGTTGTGGAGTCTTCCGTGGGCTGCAGCGCCACGGCCGACTGGGACCAGAACAGGTGTTACGCGAAGGGCAGTTTCAACTGCAACCAATGCAAACTTGAACCCCAACGTGGCCGGCGAGGCGCGAAAGTGGCGCGAGTGCGGCTCTTGGACTTTTTTGATGGAGTGGAACGAGGATGGCGATGCCGATCGCCCAACGGAGTCGTGCGAGGGTTACAGCGCCACGGCCGACTGGGACCAGAGCTAGTGCTACGTGCAGGGCGTTTCGAATTTCAACCAGTGCCTGAACCCTGGCGTGGCCGACGAGACGCGAAAGTGACGCGCGCGCGGCTCCTGCAACTGCATGACGGAGTGGGACAACGATGGCGACGCCGATGGCGTTATGGAGTCGTGCGAGGGCTGCATCGCCACGGCCGACTGGGACCAGGGCCAGCGCCACGATTGCGACGACTGCAGCGCCGCGGCCGACTGGTACCAGAGGTGGTGCTACGTGCAGGGCGGTTCAACCTGCGACCAGTCTCGGGATTCCAGCGGGGCGAGCGAGAAGCGAAAGTGTTGTGAGCGCTGCTCGTGCAATTGCATGACGGGGTGGGACTACGATGGCGATGCCGACGGCGTGGCGGAATCGCTCGAGGGCTGTAGCGCCACTGCCGACTGGGACCAGAGCTGGTGCTACGTGCATGGCGGCTCCAACTGCGACCGAGCTCAGGAATCCAGCGTGGCCGGCGCGACGCAAAAATGGTGCGAGTGCGGCTCCTGCAACTGCATGACGGGGCGGAACTACGATGGTGATGCGGACGGCACTAATGAGTGAAGTGGGCTGCAGCGCCACGGCCGACTGGGACCAGAGCTGGTGATACGTGCAGGGCGGTTCGCATTGGTACCTGAACCCCGGCGCGGCCGGCGAGGCGCGCAAGTGGCGCGAGTGCGGCTCCTGCAACTGCATGACGGATAGAAGCTTCGATGGCGATGCGGACGGCGCTTTGGCGTCTTCCGTGGCCTGCAGCACCACTGCCGACTGGGGCCAGAGCTGGGGCTACGTTTAGGGCGGCTCCAACTGCGACCAAACTCAGGATTCCAGCGTGGCCGGCGAGACGCAAAAATGGCGCGAGTGCGGCTCCTGTAATTGCATGAGGGGGTGGAGCTACGATGGCGATGTGGACTTCATTATGGAGTGAAGAGGGCTGCAGTGCCACGGCCGACTAGAGCTGGTGCTACGTTCAGGGCGGCTCCAACTGTGCGGGGCACTTGGATCCCAGCGTGACCGGCGAGACGCGCAAGTGGCGCGAATGTACCCCGTCGGCCCCCTCACCGACGCAGGCGCCAGACATCGAGAGTGCCTCAGCCATCATCGCGGTCATTCGTTCGACCGCCTTCCGCGAGTGCGGGGCGCAGATATAGTTCAGGGGTAGAGACAGGGCCGAGGCATGTCCCCTGCGTAAGGCGCAGCCATCCAATGCTTAAGCCTGGAATTCTAGTTTGAGCTGGACAGAGTTTTGCTGTGATGGGAGAGCCCGCTCCTGCTGCCCGGCCTCCTCTTCCTCGTCCACCGATTTTCAGCAGCTAATTTCCCATGCCGCCTCCCAGATGTGCTTAAAATAATTGGCGATGGGGAACAGGGAGGGAGGAGGATCGAAGGAGTCCTCCTTTTCGAGGCTCGAAGCTTCGAACCAACTTTTGGATGCCGATTTCAAAGTTTAGGCGCCTGCGAGCCGCAAAAGCGCCCTGGCGCAACTGCGCTGTTGCAGCCCACGCGAGGTCCATGTGACGACTTTTTCTGGCTGGCGGCCAGTCGCTACAGCTAGCATCTGCGTTGCCGATGACACTTTTTTTTGGCTCGTTGCCAGCTGTTCCGCGTCCTTCGCCACTCCTTCTCGCCCCTTCCCTGTTCTCCTCTCTGGTCCCTCCTCATCATCTTCATCTTCCAGAGTCTACCTGTACCATGCCCGCCAGCATGCAACGAGCATTTCGGATGCTAAGTGGGTCAGAACTTCGAGTGGGTAACGTAAAAATGTACAAATTGCTTTTCAGCGTCCCAGGGTCTTGCTGGAGGTCTCTTGGGGCCTGTTGTGGACCTGTCTGGGGTCGTCGGGCCGTTTTGCCAGGGCCCGGTGCTGGTCCTGGGGCCGTCGTGGGGAGCCCTGTGGCCGTCGGGGGGGGAGAGCGTCACGGAGGCGGCAGTAGCCCTGGGGCCTGTCTCGAGGCCTTTGGAGCCGTCCTGGGGAGGTCATGCGGCTAGGTGTCTCTGATTGAGGGCGGTCGAACATGCCAGATTTGGCGCCAAGCTCGGGTTCTCGTATCTCTCAGCACCCGTCGTGGGGGCCCTGCTTCGTGCCGCAGGCAGCAGGGTGTTGCAGAAGCGCGCGCCGGTCTTGACGCGCGCCTGCCGCCGCAGGGCGCGGCGGCGGATACAGCGCGAGCCTCTGAATTTCTATTACAGCATGAACCAGGAAGCCGGGAAAGAGGGGCCAAGGGGGAGGTCATGGCAGGGCAGGCGGTCCATGAAAGCTCCTCCGTGAGAGGACAACCGGGGGGCGTGACGAAGTGAGCAATTCCAGCCCACGGGCAGACAGGAAATGAAGCCCCAATGAATTCGATCAACACAACACGGGGGCGCAGAACCCTAAGGTTTCCAATGACGGGCCCATGCAAAGGAGACTCAACGAAAACATCTAAAGCATGATAACGGTCACGCGAAGCCCTAGGAGAGGAGGAGGAGGAGGAGAAGGAGGAGGAAGAGGAGGCATATAGCTCCTCCGCACCTTCGGTGCGCGCCTTTTCCTCGCTGTTGCGCGTGCCTGCCCTGCTGCCGCACAGTGCAGTGTTGATCTGACATCCGGAGCGTTCCGTTGCCCTCCTTCTCCTTCTCCTCCTCCTCCCCCCCGCTTCCTCTCGTCGTGAGAAGATCGCGACGAGAGGTTTCTGGCCGCTTTCGGCCTGCTGGGGTTCTCGCCGGGCCCCCCCCCCCGCCCCGTCGAAAAACGGCTCGGGGCGAAAAGCCCGTCCCGGGGGAAGGGGTCCGGACCTCGGGGCGTCCACGCCGCGAGCAACATCGCGACGTCGGAGATCTGTGTCGTCGGTTGAGGGCCATCCGACCCCCCGGCTCCGGCTCGGGCCGCCACATCGGCCTCGTGTTGTGGACCCTCGTTGATCTGTGCTGCGCCAGTGCCTCCTCCCGAGGGTTTGCATTGTCGTCGAGCACGCGTGAAGCGGATTCGCCTGGGCGACATAACTGCGAATTCGAGGCGGTTCATGGGTGTTCGCGGCAGCGTCATAGGCCTCTACCGCGAAGAGGATGCTGCACTCCCAGCAGGGGCCTTATGTAGGTCTCTTAGGTGAACCCTCCTTGGTGCACCACAGACATCCACGGTTGCTCGAAGATGCGCCGCTACTTCTGATTTCGTTTGATTCGCAATTGCCTGGCATAGGCTGCGGTCTCAGCGTAGGAATATTCAAATGTCCCCCAAACATGACCAGCTACGCTTCTACCTGAACTTGGTCTGGCCGCCGAAGCAGACGCTGGATGTTATTCGCAGGCTGTTCCAGGCTGTGCGTGGACTGGACGCGAAGCGGCAGATGCTTGTCTTGCGTTTTGTGATTCCATCACTGTTCGATTTCGTGGAGTGGAACATGGGTCACGACAGGTTGCTCAAGTACAGCCGTGACGGATGCGCTGATGCTTTTGAGCTTGTACTTGAATTGACGCGGCCGTACCTACCGGGCGGCCATAAGTCGAGATTGACCTCTACCTTGCCACATTTGGAGCAATTGCGCTATACATCGACTTGCGCGCAGTGCGGGCGAGGCTGGCGCGAAGGCAGGCCTGGAGATCCCAACTCCATCTGGGCGCACAAGTTTTATCCCAGATGCGTGACAGCAACCTCCGCAGTTTGTCCCAGGGGCCTGGCGAGGGGCAGGGGTGTGCGAAGCGGGCGGGATGTCGGAGCTAACATGACGGCACCCGCCTGATCCTTCCCTTCTCCGCCCTTTTCGTCCCCTCTCACTCGCATGTCTGCCCTCATCTCTCCCCTCCTCTTCCTCCTCCTCGTATTTCGCGCCCCCTCCGCCCCCTCCCACTCCTCCTCCTCCTCCTCCTCCTCCTCCTCCTCCTCCTCCTCTTCCTCCTCCTCCTCCTTCCATTTCTCTTCCTCCTCCTCCACCTCCACCTCCACCTCCTCCTCCTCCTCCTCCTCCTCCTCCTCCTCCTCCTCGTCCGCCTCCTCCTCCTCCTCCTCCTCCTCCTCCTCCTCCTCCTCCTCCTCCTCTCGCACCTTCATTCGCGTGCCTCGGGAGGGGAGGAATAGCTAGCGAGCTCACCCACTCCCGAAAAGGTGGGAGGAGGCGTGCAGCGACTGCATCCCGTCTCTTCCGCATAGGCCGAGCCCCGCAAACGGGCGGGCGGGGGATGCCGATAACCCTCAGTGTTGATGAAGGCTGAACTAGGGGAGCAGGAGAAGGAGGAGGAGGAGGAGGAGGAGGAGGAGGACGATGAGAAAGGGGGATGGGAGGAAGAGTTCGATCAGGAACACCACAACGGCAGTGACGGCGACAGCGACGTCGATGGTGTCTTCGACCACTTCTTCCAGGGCTCGAGCCAAAAGCCGCCTGAACTTTCCGCGAACATGCAGGAACCTCCGAAAGCCTCCCGACTCCCTTCGAGGTCCTGCGAACACCTCCGGGAGCCTCCGAGAACTCCGACGGCGGCGGCGCCGACCACGACGGCCGGTGGTCCCTGGGAACCCCTTACGATGACAGGAGGTCTCCGGAGGTTCTTGGAAGAGCCCAACACGGCACAAAAGGGCTCCAAGACGGCCCCAGCCCAAAAGGGCCCAACGACAGCCCCAAGGAGGGGGAACACGAAGAGAAAATCCGCGTCTTTCGCCCCAGGAGGTCCCAAGAAGGCCCCCAAGAGGCCCCAAGAGTCCCCAGGTGCTTCTGGGCTAGAACGGGCCAGGACCCCGTTGATGGAACCCCACCCTGCCAAGGCGATCAGCGATTGTTTCTGGTTCTCGGGAGCGTGTTGCGCCCGCTTTCTTGGCGGGCTTACACCCGCCAGGTTTGGTTCTGGGTCTTTCTCGCTGAGAGTGTTTCGCGATCCTCGATCCTCGATCGATCCTCGATCCTCGATCGATCGACCTCGACTCTCGATCGATCCTCGATCGATCCTCGATCCCAGTTCCCCGAACAGACCTCACCCTCGATCGATCGGCGACGGCGGCTCTTGCTGTGATCCGGCGTGCGCCGTCCTTCCCTCCCTTTCCGCTCATTCGCTCTCCCCGCCTCCTCTTCGTTGCTCCTTTCCTCGCTCCCCTGTCACACTCCCTCCTTGGTTGAAGTCGGGCCTGTCCCTCTACAGGAGGAGTATCCAAAAATAGTCAAAAAATAGTCAGGGGACGATTTTTTGAGTATCTGTTGACCATGTTGGGGCACTTTTGGGGTATTTTTATTTCTTCGCCAGAAAATCCCCCTGTAGGGGGACCAGCCCGACCTAATCCTTGGGCCTTCTGGCTTCCGGGGCACGCTCGTGCCGGCGGCCGCCCTTGTGTCGACACCGTTTTTGCGTCCAGCGGCCTCGGGCCGCTGGTCACAAATAGGCCCGAGACCGCCTGCGCGCTCTTCGAGACGTAGATCAGGAGGGGGAAAACACACAGACACAATGAATCGTCGATTCCCCCCGGAAATATGGGAAAATATTGGAATTGGTGGGGCAGACAAAAACCAGAAAATATGGGAAAATATGGAACCCTGATATTTGTGTGTGTATATATGTGTGTATATATATATAGTCGTGTGTCCCAGGGCCCCCTCGACTAGGCCTGAGGCCGCCTGCGCGCTCTTCAAGACGTAGACTCCCTACGGCTGAGGCCTCCTCCCCGTCTCCTCCTCTGCGGCCGCCCTCGTGTCCCCAGCCGTCCCGGTGCGCCCGTGGCCCGGCGCGGCCCGTCGGCCGCTCGAACGTGTGAGCGTCCGCTCTCGCTGCTGACAGGACCTCACCACCTACCAAACCACCCCAACCCAACCCGAAGGCCCCAATTTATCCTCGATTTCCAGTGGGGGGGGGTCGTGGAACATCGAAAAAACACGTATGGAACCCTTACCCCCCCCCAACCCGAAATTCGGGTCTTCGGGTTGGGTTGGGGTGGTCTGGGAGGTAGTCAGAACCGTGTGAGCGTCCGCTCTCGCTGCTGACAGAACCGTGTTGATGACCGTGTCTGCAGAGAGACACGGTCGATGAACCCACGATTGAGTCGGGCACGTCCCTCTACGGGAGGAATGTAGAGAAATAGTCCAGAAATGGTCCGGGGACGATTTTTTCAGCACTTTTTTGGCCCCTTGTTCTTCGTCCAAGATCCCCCTGCAGCAGGACAGGCCCGACCCAAACCTACGGCGGCGAGGAGGACACACCGGTCGACGGCGACGGCGACGACCCCCCGCGCCCCGGGGGCGGCCCCGCGGCCGCCGGCGGGCTGCCTCCAGTGCCTGGAGACGCGGCGGCTGGCCAGGTGCGCCGCGTGCGGGCAGGAGCGCAGCCTTGGCCGCCGCCGCCGTCGCCGCCGTTGTCGTGGTCGCCGCCGTCGTCGTCGTCGTCGTCGTCGTCGCCGCTGTTCGTCGCCGCCGCCGTCGCCGCCGCGCCGCTGCCGCCGTCACAGTCCGCCGCAGTCTCGCCGCCGTCGTGGGCCGCCGCCGTCGTGATCGTCGTCGTCGTCGTCGCCTTCGATTCGTCGTTGTCGTCGTCGTCGTCTTCGTCGTCGTCGCCGTCGTCGTCGCCGTCGTCGTCGCCGTCGTCGTCGGCCGTCGTCGTCGCCACCACCGCTCATACGGCTTCTGTCGGGCACAAGGAGGTCGGCGAGGTTCGAGTCTGACCAGTACCAGCACTAACGAGCAAGGAGGAGGAGGACAGTAGAAGCAGCAGCGCAGAAGCAGGAGGGACAGAGTATATCAGAGTTGCACCAGCGATACTGCAATACGCCCGCCCGTCCCGAGTCCCTTCATCACCAGCCCCGGGACAGTTGTTGTTTGTTGGCTTTGGACTGGTTTGGCAAAGTGGGAGCTGCAGAACATGTACAAATATGAACTCCAGACTCCAGACATTTGTTATACGATTTGGTTTTCCTGGTGTGACTCATGGGGGCGGGAGTGGAGAGAAGCCGAGTATGGGGAAGAACGCGGAGAGGTGCGGAGACACGTTGAGAAGTGAAGTGGAGGTGAGCGGTGAGAAGTGCGATCGGATGTGACGGAGTGCCCGGGGTTTAGGCGTGAGATAGGGTGAAGTGGCTTTGAGTGAAGTGGACTGGGGTCGAATAGAGTTGAGTGGGGAGGATTAGAAAGGAGCGGGGGAGAGTGGAGAACAGGGGGGAGGAAGGCGGAGGAGTGGGAGAGAGCTGAGAGGACTGCAAAGAGATGCGGAGCGAATGGGATAGGTGGATCAGAGGGGCATGGGGAAAGCGCGGAAGAGTTCGGAGGCGTGGGAAGCAAGGAAGAGGAGTGGAACGGAGTGGGGAGGGATGGGAAGAAGTGGAAGTGAGCGGGATGGAGCGGAGCGGAGTGGGTTGGTCGGATGGGATGCCATATAGGTGGTGGCGTATGATGCAATCTATGTTGTGCAATCTACGTAGGGAAATCTACTTTATGCAGCCTATGCGGTGCAACCTATGTCATGCATTCGGCGTGGTGCAGTCTTTGTCGCACTTTCTACGTAGTGCGCTCCAAGTTGGGCGGGGGGGCCAGGCCGAACTCGGCGGGGGCGGAGACTGGGCCCAGCCCAGCCACTGGCCGTGCCTCTCCTTGGAGCGAAGCGGCTTCACCGCGAGTCGTTGCGTGGCAAGCGGTGGGGGGGGGCGGCGGCCGCATTCGGCGGGGGCGGATCTTGGGCCCAGCCCAGCCACCAGCCATGTCTCTCCTCGGAGCGACGCGGCATCGCCGCGAGGCATCGCGTGGCCTCCCGGGGCCGTCTTGGGGCTCTCTCCTGGGCCAGTTGGGACGATGTGGGGACGCTCTCAGGGGCTCTCTTGGGCCGCGTTGGTGCTGAGTGCGTCCAAGTTTCATGGGGCTTCTTTGGGCCCCCCTGGGGGCCTCTGGGAAGTCTCTTGGTAGCCTGCCTCTTAGGGGCATCTTGGAGCCTCTTCGGAGCTTCTTGGGGCTCTTGGGGTCTCTTGGGGGCCCCTTGGGCTGTCTTAGAACGCGCGTGGCCCGACAGACGCCTTCGGTGGCCGTCTTGGAGGCATCTGTGAGCTGTCTTGTTGCGTCTTCGGGGCATGCTGGAGGCCTCATGGCTCATCTTGGGGGCCTCTCGGGCTATCTTGGCGCCGTTTCGGAGGCGTCCTGGGCCGTCTCTGGGCGATCTTCTGAGCCCCAGTGGTCGTTTTGGGCGCTGCGAACCCTTCCAAAACGATAATGGTAAGATTGAGCGAGCATGTTGCAGTTTTTCGACAATTTTGGCTTAGACTTCCTGGAGAGTCTCTTGGGGCCGTCCTCGGCCGTCTTGGGGGCCTCTTGGGCCCTCTTGCAGCCATCTTGGGCCGTCTTGGAGCCGTCTTGGCGGCCTCTGGGCGTGCTGTGGGGCCCCCGGGGAGGGCTCGCGAGGCCTGCGGCCCCCTGGAGCACTCGAAACGGCCCGCCGGCCCCTGGGACGAGCGTGTGACGCCAGGGGGGCTGGGGTCGGTCTTGGAAGGGCGGGCCGCCGCCCAGGGCCCAGGGGACCCGGTCGCCGGGCGTACCACGTCCAGAGCCGAGTGCGCAGGAAAGGGCGGGGGGCCGAAGCGCGCCCCCCCGAGCGCGCACCCCAGAGGCAGTGTTCTGCCCTTGCGAAGGGCAGGCGCTTCTGGGCAGCTTCCGCGGGCTGGGTTCGCGACCTCGGGATCGCGAACGCGTGGTGAGTTGCATGTTTTGGTTTGCTCCGGGAGCGGAATCGATATCTCTCTTTTCTTCTTCGAAACCTGGAGCATGTACATTACCAGTGGCGGGCTGTTTTTCAATTCCAGGACTTTTCGAGGGTCGGGGACGCCGTCGGGGTGGTGTGGCGTATACTTGTTTCCCCTTTTTCACAGGGAAACGACGCAACACGTATTCACCATGATCCTGTATACACCAGGTTCTGCTTTTCTGCGCAGACTTCAGTACAGGGCCGGAAAAAGCGTCGGTGTAATATATATATATATATGTATGTATATATATATATATATAGATATAGCGAGAGAGAGAGTGAGAGAGAGAGAGTTCGGTTCCCTACTTCTTCCTCTTCCTCCTCCTCCTCCTCCTCGTCCCAGTGGCAGGTTCGCATGGCACCGCTGCCTCCATTTCGGCACACCCCTCACACGGTTCGTGGTCCCATAAGGAGGTCCGCCGTAGGCCCCCGTGGCAGGGTTCGCGTGGCACCGCTGCCTCCATTTTGGCACACCCCTCACACGTTTTGTGGCCCCATAGGGAGCTCTGCCGAAGGCCCCCGTGGCAGGGTTCGCATGGCACCGCCGCCTCCGTTTCTGCACACCCCTCACACAGTTCGTCGCCCCATAAGGAGTTCCGCCGAAGGCCTCAGCAGCTGGGTTCGCATGCCGCCGCCGCCTCCATTTCGGCACACTTCTTACACGTTTCGTGGCCCCTGGGGAGCTCCACCAAGGGCGATACTCACAGTTGCGGCATTCACCCCTCGGTGCTCCAGCGCGCCACGCTCTTGGGGGACGGGTCGGGGCCAGACTGCCGTTTCCCGCCAGACCGAGTGGCGGGTCGGGGCGTGGCCGTGCATGATCGATACGGGCGCAGGGTCGCCGCACTGGTCCGGGCCAGTGCCGCCCGCCGTGTGCCCGGAGGGCCCCGGGCACGGAGGCCAGGCAAGACCTTGGGCCGGCAGGCTGCCTCCAGGTCTTCGAGCTGAGCGAAGTGGAGGCCGGGAGCTCGGGCGCTGAGCTCCGAGAGCGGAAGTCCCGCGGTCTCGGAGATGACAGGAGAGTGCCTGCGTTGCGTCCTCTAGGGGGTCCCTGTCGCGGGCCCACGGGGCGGCCCTTCAACACCACTCCGCGGTGGCAACAGGCCCTCTCCGTGGGGCCGCCTGTACATGCAGGGTCTGTGGCTGACCACGGGGCCTCTGTTTCTTCTCTCTCTCTCTCTCTCCCTTCGGCGACATGCGACCCTCCCTCCCTCCCCTCCCTTTTCCCTCCCCCCTCCCTCCCCCCTCCCTGCACAGCCGTTTGGGCTCGGGCCGACGTTGAGCTCCGACGCCCGCGGCCGTGGCGCCTGCGATCTGGCCGCGGCCTGCGCTCTCCGGCTCCTGCCTGCCGACCTCGGGGGCGGCTTCTCGGGTGCTGTCAGGAGTGCTCCTGGCCCAGGATGTCCCCAGGGGTTCCAAGTACAGTCGGGGCGTTGACCTAAGGAACCCTAAATAAGGAACGAGGCCCCTTTGTCCCGTAAGTTAAACTTTGATTTTACATGGAAGCCCTTAGGAACCCCCAAGGCAAACTGCAAAACAATCAAGGAACACCGAGCCCCTCCCCAACGGAAAAGGTTCCTTCTTCAGCGCCCTAAGTGTAGGCCCCCCCACGGCCTCCAAAGCACCCCTCACGAGGCCCAGGGGATCCCATAGGGCTCCCCAGGTGCAGCGGGGAGCAGGGGGGCACCTCTGGGCCGGGGGCACCCCCTGGCAACCCCCCCGAGCTGCGAGGTCTTGTGGCGCGCTTGGGGGGGGGGGGGGCATGCAGCCTCTTCGCGAGGCCGCGCGGCGGCCCCCGGCGGGGTCGGGAGCCCCGTCGGGGGGGCCGCGCCGTGCACGTGTCGCACGGCGTCGGAGGTCTGCGGCGGTCGCCCCCGCTGGCGGGGCGCTCCGCTTCGCCTCGGCGCTGGCGGTCTCGGCGGCCGCTCCGGCGGCGCAGCTGCGGACGGAGGCCGACCTGTGGGACCTGCGGCTGCAGCTCCTCCCGTGGGAGGGCTTCGCCTGGCGGCTGGTGCTGCGCTCGCCGCTGATCCCGAGGGGGGAAAGCGGCGCGAGCACGGGGTTTCGGAGGTCCGCGCGGGCTCCTCGGGTCGGCGCTGGGGCCCCCCCTGGCGGCGCCTCCGCGCGCCCACGGGGGCCCCGCGCAAACTCCAAGACGTCCGCGCGGACCTCCGAGAGCTGACGTTTAGTCACCACCCACCAAACCACCCCAACCCAACCCGAAGGCTCAGATTTACCCTCGATTTCCAGTGGGGGAGGGTCGGGAAACATCGAGAAAACACGTGTGGAACCCTTACCCCCCCCAACCCGAAATTCGGGTCTTCGGGTTGGGTTGGGGTGGTCTGGTAGGTAGTCATTTAGGCTCTGTTTTTGCTCCTCTGTGATCTCTGGCTGCACGTGGACTCGCGCGCACTTGATCTCGGAGGAGTGGCTCGGGGCCGCGGGGCTAGACCTTCCGACCGTGCGGTCGCTCCGCCGGTGCGACGGCAAGTCGACCGGGTTCGGCAGCCTCCGCAGCTGCCACTTCTACGACCGCGCGGCCTTCCAGCGGCTGGGCGTCGAATTGCCCTCCGAGGGCCTCGGGTTCATGGTGGAGGATGCCATCTCGGGGGGGGAACAGGGATCAATGACACGCCGCTGTCGGGAGCCCTTCTGCATGGCACTCCTGTGCTTCTGCTCGAAGGCCCGGTGCCTCGTCAGCAGTAGTGCGCCGCTGGCTTCCCCGCGGCGGCGCGCCATTGGGATGCCGTTCCCTCCCCGGCCGTCTGGTTCACCGGCTGGGGCACGGGGGTCGCGGCGTGCGCGGGCGGGGAGTGCCGCGGGGATGCCGGCCCGGGCGCCACGGTGTGCACGGCCGCCGCCGCGGGCGAGTGGGCGGCGGTGCCGCATCCTGGCAGCCGGGCGACGCGGTCTGTACACATCCACTGCCCCCCGGCCAGGCCCATCCGGGGTCCAGGAGCGGTGTACACGCCTCCCTGGCTTGGCCAGGAGGTCGTACAGACCGCTCCCGCCCCGAGATCCTCGCCCGTTTTCGGGGCCCAGGGCCCTCACAGATCGATCCGATTGGAAACGCGACGCAGAAAGATGGGGGTCCAGGGCTGGGGTGGTGCTTTTGTTTGCGATGTTGCAGTTCTTGGGCAGCGTCAGATCTGAGGGTGGCCCCACGATGGGCCTGGCGGGTGGCAGTTGATCTGTTATTTTGCATCTTCGGGTGGCCTTCCCTGTCCCGTAAGTGGCGTTTTTTTCTTGTACTACGACGTGGGTTCGACGCGGATGCGACGTGAATTCGACGCGGATTCCACGCAGATTCGACACGGACTCGATGCGGATCCGACACGGCCCCCGGCGCGAGGGGGCAAACTTGAGGCCCCCCCGAAGATGCAGCGTGAGATCTGTGTAGACCCCAGGACAAGGAGGACAAGGAGGAGGAGGAGGAGGAGGAGGAGGAGGAGGAGGAGGAGGACAAGGAGGAGGAGGAGGAGGAGGACAAGGAGGAGGAGGTCCTCCTCCTCGTCCTCCTCCTCCTCCTTCTCCTCCTTGTCCTCCTCCTCCTCCCCCTCCTTGTCCTCCCAGGCAGGGCGGCGTTCCCCCGCGGCATCGGCGCCTGGCTCTCCGCCCGCCTCGCCGGGGCGGGCCTCTCCGCCGCCCGCGCCGGGGCGGGCCCGCCCGCGGCGGGCGGCGAGGGGCTGGCGGCGGAGGCGCTGGCGGCGATGGCCAGGCGGGGCCTCTGCCGCGACGAGGTGGTCTTCGGAGGAGGGCTGCTGTGCCCTCGGAGGGGGAAGAGGTACAGTCGGGGCCCCGAAGAAGGAGCCCTTTTCGTGGGGGAGGGGCTCCGCGTTCCTTGATTGTTTCGCAGCTTGCCCCAGGTTGTCATTCGGTTTTCGATATGGGATCGAAGGTTCACTGATGGAAAATGAAGGCCTCGTTCCTTATTTAGGGTTCCTTAGGTCAAGACCCTCACTGTACCCCTGCCGCTACCCTTCCCTCTTGTTCCCTTTGTGGGCCTCCTGGGAGGCCCTCGTCGCCACCGCTGGGTTCGCCTCGAAGTCCTGGTCAGTACGCACCCGGGGAGAGGTCCGGTGAGCAGCGGTAGTTATCGGTACTGGTGCCTTTTTGGTGTACCCATGCCCCGCCTTCCTTCTTCCTCTTCACCCTCCGCCCGAGTCGGGGGATGTGGCAGATTTTTGCTGTCGTCGCTGCACTGCTGGATGTCGACGCGCTGTCATTCCCCTCAGTTTTCCCCCTTCTTCTACCAGAACTGTGCGAGCCCAGCAAAAAAAGAAGAGGTGGTGGTTCAGAGGAGAGGGCTGGTAGAGGCAACGGCAGTTGGCTCTCGGGGGGGCCACTGACGTAGCTCGGGAAGCTCGTGCGTTTGGGCCCCGGGAGGGGTCCGGAGCCCGATTTCGAGCTGCCACTGTCTCAACTCGCCCTGCCGCGACGAGGTGGCAGAGTTCTTTGCGTCGTGGGCGCCGCCCGCGGGCGGCCAGATGCTCGTGATCGGCTGCGCGGGAGGTGAGAGCATGACGAACAATCCGACGCAGGCGCTTATCGACGCGGGCCTGGGGGGGCTGTTCATCGACGCGAGGAAGCGCCACATCGCCCGAGCGCGGCGGAAGTTTGGAGGTCCGCACAGGATGATCATCAACGCCACTGTCACTCCCTCTGTGCTGCCGGGCATGCTGCAGCAGCATTCACGGTTCGTTCAGCAGACCGAAGTGGTGCAGGTTGACGTGGACAGCTTCGACGGACCTCTCTTGATGCAGCTTCTTGAGGTTGTGTCTCCCTCCGTCATCGTGGTGGAGGTCCGTCACGTTCTTCCGTTCCCATTCCGTTATGCTTGCGTCGAGTGCAAATTCGATGAGGTCGTCGCCCACCGGAATCTTTGGGGAGCCACGCTTGGCTACTGGGTGCACGAGCTGGAACGCCGCGGCTATGAGGTCGGGGCGATGGACCAGCTGGACGCCCTCTTCGTCCGGCGCGGCTCGACCCGCCCGCACCAGGACAGGCGGGAGCTCTTCCTGGCCACGATGGCCTGCTACCTGCGGAACAGGCTGATCGTCCGGCGCCCGAGGGACCTGTTCGTGCCCGGGGGCAAACCCGTGGAGCCCACCCGTGCGAACCTGGAGGCGATCAGGGCGAACCTCACGCGAATCCACAGCGGCTTTCGTTTCGCCCTCTCGCTGTGACGCCCCCCCCCCCCCGGAGGAAAAGGAGAGGCGGGTGACGAGGACGAGGACGAAGAGGACAGGCAGGACGGCGACGGTGCAGCGCAGCTGGCGGACGAGTGCCACAAGGCCAGACGCGGTGCTGCGGGCGGGCGGGGGGTTCGCACCGCGGCCCCTCCGCCCCGAATCCTGAGGCGAGCGATGAAGTTCCTCATCAGCAGGAGGCGAGAATAGCACGACATACAGCGAGCGGCTTGAATAAGGAACAATTAATTTTCAAAAGGGGCTCGGTCGTTCCTTAGGCTTACATGCGTTATTTACAGTTCCTTATGCGTTATCTATGATTTTTCGTTCCGTATGCGTTATTCCTTGGGATAAAAAAGGGGCTTCGTTCCTTATTTATCGTTCCTTAGGTCAGGCCGACTGTACACCTCGGGCGTTCCGCAGACGTCCGAAGTTCCATGAACAGCAAATGTCTTGAGGAGCTTCCATTCTACGGTTGAGAGCCCCGTTATCTACGCACAATATTGTGTTTTCAAGCGCGCTTGTGTTTCGAGTGTGCGTGCGCGTGTGCGTGTGTGTGTGCCCCAGCAGCATGCGCCCGAACCGTGTGTCCCCCAACGACCTTGAGCGCTGGTTGGATTCACTGGCGCGGCGGAGGAAAAACGGTGTGTATGTGTGCGTGTGTGTGTGTTTGTGTGTGTGTGTGTGTGTGAGTACGCATGTGCGTTTGTGCGTGTGTCTATGCGTGTTTGTATGTTGGCGTGCATGTGTGTATTGAGGTTGTCCTGGACCGACGGCGGTGCTGTCTCGCGTCTCCGCAGCGCGGACAACACTTATCAGTGCGACGCGGCGAGCCCATCGAGTGCCCCATGAATTCCCGGACGTGAGAAGTATGTGTGCTTGGTGTGTGCGCGCGTGTGTGTGTGTGTGTGTGTGCTTGGTGTGCGTGTGTGTGGCGCGACGCCGCGCTAAGTACTTCTACTGACTCCGAATCCTCGCTGCGCGCGAGGCCGCTTCCGCCAAAAGTCTGTGTGTCAGTGTGTGTGTGAGTGTGTGCTTGTGCGCGTGTGGTTGTGCTTGTGCTCCGCCAACCCCGTCCTGCCGCTGCTATTGCCGCCGTGTTGTTGCCCACATGGTTGCCGACGAACAGTGTGTGTGTGTGTGTGTGCGGTTGAGTTCCGTCCACCTTGGGTGCGGTATGGCTGTCGCCGTCCCCTCTCTCACCCGGGTGCCCCGTTCGCACCCCCCCGCGCGCCGTTCTCGCTGGTTGTACGGATGCCACGATGAGATATTCGGGGACCGAGCGGTCTTGTCCCCTCCTGGGTTGTTTTACACCCATCAGCAATTTCAAGAAAAGATATCAACATTTCGTATATTCAAAATCTCGTGTAAGAAAACCAAGGATCTGAACTGGACCCTGGACGTTTTCTTTTTGAGTTTTTGTTCGTAGAACCTGCCTGCATCTGGCCTGCGCTACTGTGTAAGAAAACGCTTCGACTGAAGGTCATGTGCTTAGCTGCAACTGTTCTCATCTCGAAGCAGGGCTGTATGCAAGGCGGGCGTCCAGGCCGTCTCCGTGGTATGCCCCGTCGAAGCTGTTGCAGTCCTGCCAGCAGGAACCGAGCGCGCGGCACCTGCGAAGCATCTTCATCTGTCCCGTCCGACAGCCACCGTCAGGCGGAGATTGTGAGGATGTTGTGTAACTCGTTGTCGAGCGCGCAGTGTGTGTGTGTGTGTGTGTGTGTGTGTGGGCGGGCGGGCGGGCGTGCGTGCGTGAGTGCGTGCGTGCGTGACTGTTCGTCTTTCGCCTTGGCGCCTCCCTCTTCTGCATCGCCTGGCTTTTCTGTTCTGGTGCCGCATACGCGCGGCTTTGAGTCGTTCCAGTCTTGCCGCTCCGCTGCACGGAAGCCAATTCAATTTGCATGCGGCATCCAACAGTAATCCGCTAATTGGACTCACTGGCACATCGGTAGAAAAGTTTGCGTGCGCGCGCGTGTGTGTGTGTGTGTGTGTGTGTTTGTGGCACAAGTCGCCACAACGGTGCCCCCGTTTTGTTAGCTCTTCCGCCAGCGCAGTTAATCGGCCTAGCCGCCGACGCACAAAGTGTATGTGTGTGTGTGTGCGTGTGTGTCGGTTGCCCCGCTGTGTAAGGGATTGGCCAGACTTTCTCCGTCGCGAGCTGCAAGTTCAGCAGCTCTGGGACTCGGCGTCCCCGACCTCGAGACGCCCGCCGTGCGGATTCATTCCCCAACCGCGTGCGACCGAAATGTGTGTGTGTGTGTGTATGTGTGTGCGTGTGTGTTTAAGTGTTTTTCTTTTCCTTTACGGCGGCACGCTGTGCACTTCCGGCGTTCCTCCAAGTTCGCTGGATGCGGCGCGTGCGCGTCCAGCGCGAGCTGCGATCTCCTTTTCTGGCGCTGGTCGCCTCCTTCTCTCTCTCTCTCTCTCTCTCTCTTTGTGCTGCTGCAGTCGCCGTTTCGCTCGCCGCCTGGTGTCTGCCAGATCCTGTGCATGCCACATGTTCGCGTTCTTTCCGCCTGCTCTTTTCGGCCTGCCATTAATGTGGGAGCACATCACCACCCACCAAACCACCCCAACCCAACCCGAAGGCTCAGATTTACCCTCGATTTCTAGTGGGGGGGGGTCTGGGAACATCGAAAAAACACGTATGGAACCCTTACCCCCCCCAACCCGAAATTCGGGTCTTCGGGTTGGGTTGGGGTGGTTTGGTAGGTAGTCAGCACAGGGCCTTTGCTCGAGCGAAATCGTCAAGCATTCGCCTGCGATGGGCGCCAGCGATCCCCGTGAGTGGTCCACGGGCGGCCGGCTCCGTGTCGCGGGGGCGGGAACGTGCGTGTGGCGTGCGTTTTTGTGTGTCTATGTGTGTGCGTGTGTGCCCATGCGCCTTAGCGTACGCGCATGTGTGTTGTAAGCCTGCGTGCACAAGGGCTCCCTCGAGGGCGCGAAGTTATTCGCGCTTCGCGCTTCGCGGTCCTCGTTCCTTCTCCCCCTCCTCCTCGTCCTCCTATTCTCCCTTTGGGAGGGCGGCGCGAGAGCGCGAAGTTATTCGCGCTTCGCGCTTCGCGCAGCGCGAAGCGCGAAGTTGGGAGCCCTAGGTGCATGTCAGTGTGCGTGCGCGGTGCTGTATACCGCATCAGAAGATCGCATACCGCAGCACGGTGCTGCAGATCAACTCTAGCATAGCAAAACGCAGCACTAGCGAAGCAGAGCATCGCCTGGTACACTACAGTAGAGTGTAGCGTCTGGTGTAGCATGGTGTCCCATCGCATACCATTGCCATAGCCCGTTGTCTCGTTGCAGCTTTACGCTATTGCGTAGAATTCCAAGGCATCATCATTAGCACCGTCCATAACACAACAGATCACGTGCAGCATCCGTAGCCATTGGCTCAAGTCGTTCTGTCTCAAGGCCTCTGCATTGAATATGTATGGTGGCGCCGCCGTTATTAATTCAGCTGCTCTGCGATGCCGCCCAAGGCCACGGGACCCAAAAAGCCAACGAGGACCAACAAACCCAGCCCGCTTGAGCGGATGAGGGAGGCATTCGCGTTGGTGAACGTGGACGCCGACGCCCATGAGGTCACCAAAAAGGATCTCTTAAAAATCATAGCGACCACTGGCGTCACAGAGCGTGGCCGAACAACTTGTCGCTCGATTCAATCCCGATGGGAACGGGGTCTTAGACAACGAGGAGTTCTTCGCCTATGCCGCGAAGGGTGGGGGAGACGTTGTACAGCCTCATTAATCGGGGCGTGCTGGAGGCCGACGAGGGCTTCGACAAAGTCGTGGAGATCTTCAAGGCATGGGACCAGGAAGTGCTTCGTTTGCCCATCCTGGCGCTCAGCGGGTTTGGGGCAATACTGGGAGGCGCGTGGCTTTGTCCCTCGCCGGCCTCCCTGCTCCCAGCATCCGCGATCCACGATGCGTCGTTGTCCTCCGCTTGCCTCGATTGTCCTCCGCTTGCCTCGTTTTCCCACTTGCTCCCAGGATCCCAGTTGCCTCGTTGTCCTCGGCTTGCCTCCTTGTCCTCCGATGTCCGCGATGCATCCGGACCATCCCCCGGGGCGTTGGCCCCAGTGGGCGTGCCGCCGCTGCCGTCGTCCGCGTGTCTGCTTCTGCCACTGCCCTTGTGCAGACTGTGTACGGCGATGTGGATTCAAAGGAGAATGCCGAAGTCCTCCTTGGTGCTGCCTTCGAGGCCGCCGAGGTGCATGGCGGAGTGGCACTCATCGGAGGCGACTTTGCCCGAGGGGCGCTTCGCCCTCGCTCGTGCGCGGTTGCGGGGATGGGTCGATGTGGCCAGCGCCGTTGCGACCCGTGATGGCACCGAGCCTGTGGCCACTCACACCCGCTGGCAGCGCGCCCCGTCGCATAGACCAACTCTGGGCTAGCCCAGTCGCAGCTCGTGCCTTGCTTGGCGTCTCGGTTCTCGAGTGGGCTGGGCACAGACCTGTTGTTGCGTCCTTTGCTCGGGATCGTTTGTGCCCCCATTTGTCCAAATGGCGCGTGCCGCATGCGCTTCCTGTGCCTGTGGATCCTGCTGCTGTGTCCAGGATGCGTTTGAGCGCTTGTCCTGACCCACACTTGTCGGATGAAATTTGCACTGTTGCTGACGTTGCCGTTGACGCCGACTTTCAGACTTGGAGCGCGGCCGCTGAGACGTTTCTGTTTGATGCTCTCCGGGCCGAGGGCGGCGACGACCCTAACACCATTGTCTCTCGCCATCGCGGCCGTGGCCGCGGTGGCAAGCGTGTGAAAGTGCGCCAGTCAGAACAGCGAGCCCGCACAGGCCGCGATGCGTTTGCGAACGACTCGCCTAACACAGTGCAGGCTCGTTTGATGATCAAACAGCTTCGTCGCATGCCTTCTGCCCTCGATCTTGCCAAGCGTTTGGCCCCGGGTGGCAGCGGATCTCGTTTGCCAGACTCTGGGCGCCAGGAGCTCTGGAGCTCGATTCGCGATGGTCGTGGGTTCGGCCTCCCCTTTCATGCATGGTGG